ACGGGGTTGAAAGTCGTTCTTGTTCATTGTGGGGGCGGAAGGAAGAAAGAATGACAATGCACAGGGTGCATGTAAAGTCTCGCCACCCCAAATACATTTTCCTGTATCATCAACGATGTTTAACTTCGCCCTCGAAGCCGAGAGACAATAATCCGCGTCGTATTCTCAAGGTATTCCAACGTTTCGACAGATAATGCAGTCGTCAGCTTCGGGATGGATGTATTTGGGGGGGAGGGGCTGTCTTTTCTGGCGTTATAAGAATAGCAGTGCTGTTTTATAAACAAGAACACGATGCCTTCCTCACAGACGTTGATGGATGACCTCTTATCATCATAACCCAGAAGACCGCGTAAATGGAAGATCATGCCTGACTTCCAAGAGGGGGCCCATACCGATAAAATGGCAAATTATTAAGATGGCTCTTTTGGGATGTTATACCTGCCGCCATGAGAACCTGAAAGCTCACCAGTGGCATTATGTTTTACCCTGGGATTGAAGGAATTTGTATGCAGCCTGTAGAACACGAGCGAGCACAGCGGCTGGTAAACAGAGGTCATACGGCATATACACGCTTCGACACAGCTGGGGAAAATGGGGACTTGTTTTCTATCTTTGTTTTTCGTCAACGACTTATGTGGCCGGAATCGAAAGGGGCTACATTTTTTTATATAAATTTCACAAATTGTGTGACCACAGAAAACAAGAATCATAATTATCATCTGCAGACTAAGCTAAATAACATCTTCTTGGGTAATCAGCAGCGTCAAATGCCTACACGAAGAGACCAACGTTTCTGGAACCATCTCTGCCCCCATCATGTCACATTAGAACTCTAATGATGGGGTAAGAGATAGTTCTAGAAACGTTGGACATTTTGTGACCACAAACTGGACACAACCCACACCATCCCAAAGCCACACAACACATATCAAAATAGACGCCACAAACATTACACTCACTCCCTAACAGTAACGAATTCAGACATCAGAACTCACCCCAGCCAACAGCACTCACCGCACCTTAAAGTACTCACCTTACATTAAAGAAATCCTGAGAAAAAAATTACAATGCTTGCAATAATAATAAACCCTCAAGTCAACGATCCAGACTGCAATGACAAGTCCAGAACGGAGATAATACAAAGGTTTTTCAACATGACATATTTCAGAGATCAAAGATCCTTGTTTCTAACAGCACAATGCCAATTAAAGTATTGACATACTATATTTACAATAATTTCACACAACTCTTTCAAACTTCTTTATGCAATGAAAACTCATTAAAATAATTCTTATCCCTTGACCCTGTCTCTATAAGAGACAAAGTACCAGTCCTTGGAAGAGTACTTACAGTCAAGGCCTGCCAAATGTAGTCAGACTTATAAAATAAAGTTTGTACCTTTAATTATAGGCACAAGTCAGGCTTATTGTTTATGAAGAATTTTTCTCAGACTACTAGCCATGTAAGGTGGTTTAAGGGAGATGAATAATTCATTATACTTAGTCACAATGAAAGCTTCACATCATTCAGGCTTATTATTAGTGCACAAATGACTGACTTAAAATGTGGAAAGGAATGTTTAAATAGCAAAAGATATTGCTTACTGTGACCACTTATATTATTAATGCTACTATGAATTGATGGTAGCTGCAAATATAATGAATATAATTTTATGAGTGGTCCTATAATTTTGTTTTTATTATATTCTTACTATCTCCTGCTGACAAGACCTGTTCCCAGGTGGATAAGTTGAGACAGTTGGACAACAAGGCCCCAAAGTTAGCTGTAGAATGCCAGCATAAAGCCATAATTATTCTCACTGTTCTCTTCTACAGTTCTACCTGAAGCCTCTTCCATGCCCTCCACATAGACTTCCTCTAAATAATAACACATAACTCTGTTTATACCTATGTACGTTTTACACGGTGAAAGAATGTACATAATACCACATAATAAATTTATTCCTCCACTCCCTACTCCTGTAAAGCTCATTCCAGATGCGAGTCTAATATTAGCTTCATACATCTTTTCCACTAATATTGAGATTCTGAAAGCCAACAATGCAACTGACACATTATATGCAAAATACAAATACCAACAATCATCTCGAAGTCTTTTTTTGTTTCATTTCCATCACCACCATCTGCACAGATACAAGCTGATGTTATATCAACTGTGAATAAACTTGCTTGTATCCTACACCTTTTAGATTCCTAACCTCAACATTGGCATTATGATATTTTATGTTCTTATATGTTGCTTTCTTACCTTTATAGTAACTCTTGTTTGATCCAGGCATTTTAAGTCCTAACACAAAAGCACTATTCAAACAAAACTCCACAGTACACAACACACCTCACTTCCACAGCCAACCTTCTATACTGGTGTTTTTAAAAGAACACCTGTCCTTGTCAGGCTGTGAACCATAAGAAGTGCCTTCTAGAATCCTTTTCCAGTAGCTTCAATGGTAGAAATGATAGAGAAAAAATTATGAAGCCCCTCAATATCCAAACTTCTGTACCCTCCTCTCATACTCTTTGTTTCACCTACTGCAGGTTTTGGGTAAAAATAAAAGTATACTAATTCATAGCTAACAAAGAACTTTACCATCATTTGCATGGCAGCTTCTATTGTAGATCCCCAAATATAAAGTTCTGTCAAAATAAGTACTTTCAGAAACAAACAAATTAAAGAGATGAACTACCTATATGCACCCACTTCATACTGGGAGAAGGCAAGGTAAGACCACTGTAAATATGGAACCACCTGTGAAATGAGGTATCGTATGTTCACTATAAACCTTCACTTACAGAAGAAACTAAATATTCTGGGCATTGTCACGATTTCCTGTAGCTGCCTGTGTGCGGAAGTCTGATCGTAGGTGTCCAGCTTCAAACGTCACATACACGAGGGATGCAGGGAAAAGAATCTTGCACAGGGGCGGTATGTTGGATTGAATTTCAAAAGAAAAATTCAAGCTGAAAGTAAAATCTTCTATTAGAAGAAATTTTGTAATGAATATATCATTTCCAGTTTGTAAACAATTTTCCTTGTACAGACATTACCAGTCTATGTAATTAAATAATATTTAAAGTACAAATATTAATTTCATTTTGAAATGAATCATGACATAATACTAACTACAATACAATACATCTGTCACACTGGATGGTATAATTTTGCACTGGAGACAGGAGAGGGAAGTTGGTTGCAATATTTACACTATATAAACTTACAATATTACATCTCGGAGAACCTACGATACACTTCCCGTTTACATGTTAAATTAGGTTCAGTATAGCAGATAAGAGAAAATAAAACTGTAGGAGGTAAAAATATAACAGCAGAAATATGATTAATAGAAACTCTTTTTTCAATACAAATTACATTATTAACTTATAAAATATTGTTTTGGAAATACATTAAAAGATGATTGTGTAATTACAAAATAATAATAATTACATTTGCAAACAATCATGTTATATGTGTAAATATAATTTATGGAACAATGACTGTAAAGCAAACAGAACAGAGGAAACATTTTGCCCACACTACAATACCATGAAAGTTGTTGGGGAACACGGCAGGTAATTAAAATTAATCACCATACAACCAGCAAATTACTAATGTTTGAGTATTCAAATTTAGAGAAAATACAGAAATTAAGACATAAAATATTCAAATCTGGAAAATGTATAAATAAAATTAAAATATAAACTGAAGCCAACACCAACTTCTTCATGCACAAAAAGTGTCTATACACTTCAAATGATAAAATTCAACTAACTGAGGTAACTTCTGAAAGCCCCTTAGGAACTATTTACAATTAGACATGACACCAGGTTCTTTGGTTTCAATAACTATAAGTTTCTACCACAAATAAAGTTAATATTTCAAATGTTTCTGATTCACTAAAACTTACATGAATTGAAATAAGTCAGTTTTGTTAAGTTTGTACTAATAGTGGCACTAGACTCTGCAGCTATTCTAGCTAAATATTCTTCCATAACCACCACAAACTTTACCGTCAGAATGAAGACAAACATTAAAAGTAATTTACCAGTTGCAACAGCAATCACACCACAATGTTGATTTGATCTTTTCATGGCGTAAGTACAAATATGGCTATCTTCTGGGTTGTAGCACCATGTAGTATAGTAGACATTTACCAATGTTTCAAAGGTCCTTGCTGCCTCCATCACCAGGAATCACTGGTAAACTGCTACCAGACTACAATGCAGAAGACAGCCATTTTTGTTACTGTTTCAGATGATTTCAAAGTTAATGATAATGGGACAAAGTAAACAAAAATATTTCTTAATAAATAAACAAATGTTATTAGTAAAAATATTTGCGATTCTTGTGCACAGCATATCTAAAAAAATTCACTGGGCAAAGTTCACATACAATATTAAAAACTTCAGTTCCCACCTCCAAAAAACTGCATCAAGCCTTCATTACCAACAACAAAATGACAGTGAAAACACTGTGAATTCTGGGAACCAAAATAAACCAATACAGACATTTTGTGAGTGACATACCGACTATGAGTGTTTAGTTAGTGATACCCACTGTTAATACTATCCTGTGAAGACTTAAATAAATTTGAAAGGCTTCAGAATACAGAAATGTTGGTTATTCTGCAGAAGAAATAAGAACAATTTTCATGATTTACAGTGTGAAGATGCATCACACTGCACACTTTTTGACTAATCTGTTCATTGCTTCTTTGGTGAGTCTCTTTCATTTGCAGGCTTCATAACACTGACTTTATAAGTCTACAGAGAGGTATTTTATGCAATGCCACCTCATTCGTTTCATGCTAAATTTATAGACACTGAACTAGAACAAATTTCTAGAATTCTTTTTGCGAAAAAAAGCCTGTTACATCCTAAAAATATGGGATCTTTTAGCAACAGACATGAATTACATTCTTAAGACTGTAAACAATTAATATGCCTAATTATTGAAGGATGACATGTAGAAAGGAAACAAAATGAAAGGATGATACACAAGAGAGCTTATTTAAGAGTTTGTCAGTGTCAATGAATTATTCATGTGGATGAAAACAATAAAATAGCTACAAGAGAAATTGGGAATGAAAATATTAACAGAACTAAACTGGACAGGGTTCGGCAATTAATGATAAACCAGTCATAATTAAAGAAAAAAATTCGAAATCAGATGTGTTAAATATGCCATCAACAAAAGGCACTTAAATTGAATGCAAACACACCTGAAATTTAATACATTACATTTATCAGCAAGAAACACAAATTACACCTAGCACCCAATTTGCACTGTGGCTAGTTTCCAGTAAACACACCCTGAAATACTAGTTGTTACAACAAAATAACTGAAATATCATAGGTACTTTCTGGCATTAAAATATTTTATATTGAAATTTTGAACAAAATCCAAAATTATTTAATAAACAAGAACACGGGAAAAATAAATTAACGAAAGGAAAATACAAGTGCTGAAGAGTAGCCATTCTTAGTGTCTTTCCTAATCTACTGTAGAGCCCGAATAATAGCTGATTATAACGTAGTGTAGCATGTGGTACTGCTGGGAATTCTAGCAACAGGAACTGTTTTCTATTTATCCACGCTACAGTAATGAAAGACTCAAACTGGGGCCTGCATGTAGTAACACACTGGCTGAATATTAACGTATTCATTATATTAATACATTATCAGTACACTGGATTTATGCTTCACTTCAGAATACACCATTTCAGAGTTGGTTATCAGATAACATGTGAAACTGCCTTCCAAATTCTAATTCAAACCGAATGTGATGGGAAAGCAGCATGATTTCAATATAGAGTTTTATTTTTTGAAAAGTTGTGTGAGAGATAGGGAGACATTTCTCAAAATCCTGATTAGGAAAGGGATGGTATGTAGCACAGGCAGACTGTCCGATGTAACAATGTGCGACAGACTCGAAAGATGAAACGAAACACCTCACACTGTGAAAGTCTGCGAGACGATGATCTAGCCGAAACCAAAGCCATTTTGTGTGTCGGATTAATATCACAATAAAATATAAAAATAAACATGCACAGTTCTGTTCTAAAACTTACAAGGTATAACATCATCCAGCTGATTTTACTTTCATTATTTAAAAGATGAATGAAACTATGTGAATGGCCCAGGCTCCTAAAGAGTGAATAATATTACCACAAGGCACCAAAATGTAGGAAAATGTTCATATTCTCTTTGGGATTTCACATTATGGCCCCATATGAAATTTCCATTATGGAATAATTTACACAATAACACAACCACATGCGACATGCAATATGTATGCTGCTGGCAGTAATAAAAACAAAAATTCACTTTCACCATTACCAGATTTATATAGAACGGCAACTAAGATGCAACCAATTTTGAAGAAAATATATCAGCATCCAATGGTGTGAGAGGTACCACTAAATCTTTCGAATAACACGTTCTTCCAAACATTTCTCTAGCTTATATGCCTGTAAAGATGAGACCTGAACAGTACATAATATACTTCAATGTTTTTTTTTTTTAAAAAAAATCAAATTGGATCCATACTCACCATTTCAGATGCAATCATGAGCATTTCAATATGTAAAATGATCTGTTAATAATTCAAAGAAACAAGCTATCAGGATACAACAGCATGTCAACATTTATCAAACATTTTAAACTCTTTGCTGCAAGGCGAATGTTGGGAGTTGCATAATGCAATACGTCATGCCATATGCTCCTACATGCAATGTGGTTTATGTTTCCTCTATTCAGTTCATTTCAAACCTGTTTGTTCACCTTTCTTTATGCCCTATTTTTATTTATATATATATATAATTTAATGACATATTTTAAAAAATGAACACAAAGAATGATTTGTAGGGGATGGCATGTCAAGATCACCTCCGTTTCCGTGCAGACCACATGCTCCACTGCATGCCTGAACGGGGTATACATTTGCGTGGAGATGCTCTTCTCTTGGAAGGAGAAGGCCCAAGCCTTTTGAAGCCATCATTTGATAGTGACGGACTCCTTTTTGAAACAGGAACAGAAGTGCCAGGCGACGAGGAAGACAGAGAAGAGCTTCGTAATCGACGATTGTTGGAGATTCCAGCAACCAAGTATGACGAGGAAGAAGATGAGATTGGCAAACTGGCTACCATAACACCAGCGATATCGGGTATCTTGGTGACCCTGACGCACGGCTGGAACTCCAATGAGCTGTGTCCACCACTTGATTCCAAACTGTCTGTCCTTGATACAATAGACACATGCTTTTCTTGGATAACTGAAGGTTCACTAGCAGAATTCTTAACCACTTTACCCCCATCACATTCCTTACAATCCCCCACTCTATCAGACTTTTCATCAAATTCATTATGACACCCAACTGTTTCAACTGTTCCTATCTTGACCCTATCACAACCACCCTTAATCACTTCACTTGCAATAACAATTTTTTCCTCAGCTGAAGAGTGCAATTTATCTGACACATTCACAAACTTCCCGTGTGCATCGTCACCAGACAAAACTCTCTCATCAACCCTATTTAGTTTATTTACTAGCCTTCTTTTTCCTCTCTGTTTTTCTGCTGGCCAACCTGTAAGATTTTTCTTACGTTTCCTCTTCCTTCCATGTATTCGCACGATCCTTCCTTCAGGGCCATCTGAAAATGTTACAGTCTCACACGTCGATGAAGCTCCACATTCCGAACTATTGCATGATGATTCACCCAGAAGTGATGGATTAGTCAAGCATCCTACAGGGTCCTTGTTTAATACTGGAGGCTCGTCCATGCATCGACATGTGGAAAACTCATCTAGGAGAGTTACAACATCCATTTTAGGCCCGCCACGGCAACGATGTTCATCATGTTCAACTGAGCTCACTACAAATTGTTCGACACTTAGCTCATCTAGCACCATGGGATCTATTTCCAAATGTTCATTCTGTTTACTCAAGTGTAACTCTAACTTCTTTGCTTTAGAAGGACACTTTCTATTTTGATGCTGATAAACATTTTTCTTCCCAATGTGTGGTTTACGGTTCTTATTATCTGTAAGTTTCTGGGATACAGATGTTTCCTGTTTTAATTCATCACCACTTGCATCAATGTCACTGCCACTGACTTCTTCCCCTTCACTCCCCAAAGTTAACATTCTGTCGATGTTTCTTGCAATCTCGTGAAGGTCTGCATCTGATTCTGACTTGAAGTCTGAATTTACTGCTGGTACTACTGAAACAGATCTGACTGACAGTGCCACCTCAGGACAAGTGAAAGGTGCATCTATACTGACACTGGGTGCATCTCTACTGGTATTGTCTTCTTCAGCAGAATTGTTAAAAGCAGTTTCAGATTTCTGTGTCTCTTCTTTGGGCCTGCCTGGCTCTTTCCTTCTTCTGTGATGCATTAAACTTGACAAAATTGCCAAAGTTGAAGCATGACATCTGGGAGACTTCCTAGGCTTTTTGTCTAGCAAGTGAGCAAATCTGTTACGTCTTCTCCTCATTAAACCAGAAGGTCCAGCTACACCTCCTGAGCAACCACTGCCAGATGCAAGACCTTCTGATGAAGGCAATTCATAAGGTAAAAGAAATGGTTTCCAGTAACAGGAGTCACTCATACAGGAATAAGCATAGAATTCTTCCCCTTCATCTTGCCGTGTGTACGTCTGATACCAGGGCTCACTTTGTGGAACAACTTCAAATGAAAAATGTAGTTTCTCCATAGTTGACGGCAACTCACTTTCCATCGCCTCTCTTACATTTGATTCATCGCGTTCTTCCTTCTTCCTGTCATCCCCTTTCTCCAGTTTCTTGCCATTCTTACTTTCATTTTCTTCAACAACCTTCTGTTTGGATTCTTCTTGGGTATGAACTATTTTCTGCTTCTCATTTGTTACTTCATTGCTACATGTTACAACTTTGGAATGTAACAGTGCACATTCCAAAGTGGCTTTGCCCCCTTTAGAAACCAATTCCAGCTTTGAGCAACTTGATGCACTACCTGCAAGCCTGTTTCCACTATTATCTTTGTTGTTAGAGACAGCCTTTACTTCAACAGGAGCCACACTTGGGGGAAGTATGCTTCCTTGAAAACGAAGTCGAGAACCAGGTATTTCAAATTTGTAATAATCCAAATTGTCATGTATGAAGGCTTCGGCGTGAGTGCGTCTCTTCCTCTTTCGCCTAGTTGCGCCATTGGTATCGCAACTGCTGGCCAGACTGCAGGTGTCCATGGAGCACACTGAACTCTCATCACATTGCAACATGTTACATGCATTCCCATCTTCACCATCAATCTTCAAATGCACTACATGTGTGGTGTTTGGATGCTCTCCTGTGCCACCTTCATCTTCCTTTGCATTCTTTTTGTAGTCACTCGCCCGCTTTCCACTGGTCTCATCAAACACACTTTCCTTCTTAAAATTTTTATTAAACTTACGTTTGCCTTCTTCCTCTTCCTCTTCCTCGGATGATTCAGTAGGGCTGTCATGTCGTACTGGTTCGCCAAACATGAAGCTTTCTGCTTCATCACTTAGTAATGTAAGTTCACTTCTCCTTACCCTCTGAAATTTCACAGAAACTATTTCTTCCATCTTAGTTCCTTCTCGACCCTGTTCCCCATTACACTTTAAGTCATTCGAAGATTTCTGAATAAAATTTGATTCCACCTTCTCTTCTTTCACTTCTGTTTTCATAGGCATCTCAATATCTCTTTGGATTGGGAAATAACCACTTGATCGCAGCTTACTGTTCTTTAACTCTATCTTGTAATATGCTTTATTGTCCTCTATTAATTTTTCCTCCACAGATAAACGTTTCCTTCTAATCACCTGACCATTTCCACCCTGGCACAACAAAGGTTTTGTCTCCTCCTTAACAACTGGACCTGTCTTGGATTTGTCTTCATTACTAGCGAGAGGGATGTCGCGAGAGGTACGGGCAGGTTGTGGATCAGCAGAAGTGTGGCCCAGGCGGGTCCGTGCAGGATTGCCCTCATCTTCTGCAGTTGTTCCCAGCAGGCTACTGGGCAGCCATAGTTGCCCACGTGAGCGCAGGTGATGACCTGAGTCACTACATGTTGGAGACAGCTGCTGCTGTTGCTGCTGCAGGGAAGGAGAGGAGCTACTACAGAATGAAGCGGATGCTCGCCTCACTCGCTGGGGTCTGCTGCCACCTCCTCCTTGCAACTCCCACTGCTCACGTCGCACAACGTTCCCAGAGATAGGGCCTTTCATTCCACCATGCCTTGTGCCATAGCAGTGGCTCCAGATGCCATTGCACTGTACCTACATGCAAATTACAGTTAAATCTCACTACTACAACTTACAACAAAATATATATAAGGACAGAGCAATATAAGAACAAAATCAGTATTCTTCCTGAATAACCTCTTTCAGAACGTAATACAACAAAATATATATAAGGACAGAGCCATATTAAGAACAAAATCAGTATTTTTCCTGAATAACCTCTTTCAGAACATAGAACTTCTCATCCAATGTGAACTGTTTATTGCTTGTTTTTTATATGAACCATTCATTTTATTTCCAAGGCTGCCTTTTTGACTCAGTCTCAGCTGCTGATGATAACACAGTGTCAAGTGACGACTGTTTCTTTAACTAACTCCATGGAAGTCTTTTCTGAGAACCTGATAGTAAACTCAGCTAGTCAAGACATCTTCACCATTTATTAAACCCCAAAGGTTCATTATCGTGCTCACAAGAGTTCATGACCAGTCCTCATCCTCAGCCACATGAATCCAGTCCATACATACCAACCATATTTTTCTAAGATCAATTTTTAATATTTTCTTCTCATCTAAGCCTAGGTCTATATACTGTGAATGCATTTTTCATTTCTGTCATGCACAATATGTTCAGTGCAAAGTACAAATTATGGCATTCCTCCTTGTAAAATTTTCTGTTTCTCCTTATCATTTCAACCCTCTAAAGTCTAAACATTCTCCTGAAGACCCTGTTGTCAAACATCCAGTGAGATGCAATGCCATGAACAGGCATGTTACAGTTTAGTAACAGTGACGACATACTGGTGATGGTGATAAAAGTATTCACGTTCCTTAGACATTCCTCTACACTCCAGACTTTCAATGATTCAGATGTGATCACTGTGCTCTGTAAAATACTCTTTAATTTTAAAAACATTTTAAGTAAAATTATAACAACATGGGCAAGTTAAAAGTTTATAGTTTAGATGCGTCATGTTTGTGTTTACAATTTATATATATATTTATTCTTCAAGTCTATACACAAACCATTTTAAATATTGATGTTAAAAATTAAAATTGATATAAATATTCTGCGCTATTCATCGTTTCCTCGATGTTACAATATTGCGCTATATATTACAACATGTTTCGATGCAAAAGAATCAGAAGATCAAAGGAACACCCACAACAGTAACCTACAATCTACAATTAGTGAAAAGCGTGCATTAAAAAATATAGAATAGTTTTAAAAATAAAAACCTGAAGATGATGCTAAGACATCGAAGCATGTTGTAATATATAGTGCAATATTGTAACATCGAGGAAACGATGAATAGTGCAGAATATTTATATCAATTTTAATTTTTAACATCAATATTTAAAATGGTTTGTGTATAGACTTGAAGAATAAATATATATATAAAGTTAAAAGTTATAAAAAACAATATTCTATCCAATATGACAGTCCACCACTGTATCACGTACCTCTAAGCTCTCCTTCTGCTGAAGCAACATTTTACTTTTTTCTTCAAGAGAAGACTTCACACCTGAGGCTGAACGAGTGGCATGATGTCCGTTTATGTTGGAGACTGGAGATGGCTTCTTTGATGTTGGAGAAAGCAGTTCATTTCCTTTCCAGACAACAGGGGAGGAGATGGTTGTTGAGGTATCAAGCGAAAGAGAATGCAGCTTCACTATGCTGCGCATAGAACGGCGACTGTTGCCACTCAACTCGGCTGGGCAAGGGCTGTAACAAGTGACAAAGTCTTTCAGTCATAAATTTCTCTTTAATTCCTGGAAATAAATTAATGTTTAGGTTTACCAAAGCAATTACAGGAAATTTAATAAAAACCTGTTCTTTGCACACAGTCACTGAATACCCGCCAAGGGTATTTTGTCATATTTTAGGTTTGGTACAAGTAAATGAGAAACTGCCTGTAAACAACATAATATTAATTAGGAGCCTCTTTGTATTCATGCCCTATTACAAAACACATTATGGCAACTGCATGAGACACTTTCCTATTTAACTGTGATAAAAGTATTAACAGAAGGTAAATGTATCGTGTTCATAAACATTACCTACAAATTTAGAAAAGTACTTTTATTTCTGGTCAACCCCTTGATGTACGATAATAAATCTGACTTGTGAGCGTAGCGGAAATCCAGTGAAATAATTCACAAGATTGATCCACATATCTTTTCTGAAAAGGCTTGCACTTAAGGTATTTAAATAGGATTTTGAAGCCAAGTATAATAAGAATAAAAGAAGGTACAAAGAGTTGCAAATTCTAAATGTGATTGTGACTTTGGGATCATGACAGGCAGAATTTATGCATAAAGGTACACGACACAATTTTGTAATTCGTAACATCTGCTAGCACAGAAGAATTTAAATGACAATCAGCAACCTCCTTGTTTATATACAGAGGTGAAATCTTTATCATCTGTTATTATAAGCTATGAAGCTTAGAAGAGCAAGTAGGAAGCAAGTCTTTCCAGGGTAGTACTATTTTTGCAGAATAGTAATAAATTTAAAATTACCATTTGATTTTTTCTAGTTAGTTAATTCATGCACCTGACACCCTCTATCATTCCATCTTTCTTTACTATATAGCATACATGATGTTTGTTTAATGCTCTCAGACATCCCACCTGCTAGGATGCAACATTAATACTTTGGCACCAAAATATGACTGTCCTTTGTTCTAAGATCCTGTGGCTACTTAAACCTTCCAATTGACACTTTCTGCTGAAGAGATTATCAGATACCCAGGTTCTCATGTACCTTACAATAAAGGTTACTCACAATCAAGACCAATGCCACTCAATAAATTACCTTTAGTTTTAACTTTTAAATAGGTTTTACTCCACATATGATCATTTTGTACTACTGAAATTTTGTTTATAAACTTCGAAAGGTACACGAGATCTACACACAGTGTGGAACTATGGAACAATCATGGTGTCCACATAGTGCAACAGTAATATAGTATCTTTAAACTAGGTCATGACAACATATCAAGATACATCAATTAGCAACAACTTGGCTGTTACGATGCTGAAAGGTGTAGATATAATAGGCAATATTCAATAAGCGCTTTTATTTTTTATGTGCGCAAGGCTTACAAAGTTCTCCACGAGTGGCCAGTAAAAGAGGAACAGAAATTCTATCAACTCTAAATATCAGACGTGGAGAATTAAACCAACTTTTGAAATATGAATACCTGCAGCCATTAAACTAGCATAACTATCATTCTTTTGTGAATCTAGTGTAAACTGTCAGTAAGACAAATACGCCGTTTCCGTACTAAAGAATACATACCAATTTAATTAACCCTTCAACCCATTAGCCCGAGAGTGTACTTGCCGTTTGCAGGCACCAAGACAAATCGTCATTGCCGTGTTATCGGTTGGACTTTCGCTGTACTATTTGGACCACGAGACCTTGAAACATTGTACTTCCCATTTCTTCCATCTGTTCGTTCATACATATGACTGCACACGAGTTATTTCCTTTGTTTTTTCGACACTGACACTGTATCAACCAGTAAGTAACATGGCGCATCCTACCCTTTCGCATGGTCTGAATTATGAAAAGTTTTACAGGAACCTGTTAACAGAAACATTAAAATTTTTGATAGTGGGAGTTAATTAGATAGTGATGATGATGAAAAGTGTTATGGTTGAAAAACCATCACATAGTGAGGACACAGATGACAAGTTAGTGAGTGATCTGCTTTTGAAATTACCATGAATGCAGCAAATGCAAGTGGGAGAAACTTGACAATTCATCTGTCACAAATTTCTTACTAACAGGCCATTTGAATACTACTAGCATAAGTGGATATTTAAATACTGCCTTGAAGGGTTAAAACTACTGTGATGTAAATGACAACATTAAATTAACCTACCTTTGACTACGAAGGCAATTTTACCTTTCCAGTAACAAATCAAAAATTCATTCAAGAAGATATTAAGACCAGATGTAATTCAGCAAAACCTTGCTAACATTCAGTTTGAGAATTTCTAGTATGTTGTTTTCTGCCAGTGTAAAACTTGGTACAACTGAGACAAAAATATAGACTGAAGGATTTGAGAACAGGGTACTCAGAGAAATATCCTGACCTAAGAGGGAAGAAATAATAGGAGGCCGGAGAATATTGCATAATGAGACAGTTCATAGTTTTTTACCCTTCACTAAACACCGTAAAGACGATCTAACCAAGGAGGATGAGAATGGAGGGTGAAAATGTAGAAACCTATTAGCTGTGTGTGTTAATTTTACAAGCAGCATTTGGAAAAGTAAATGCTCACAGACACACAGAAAGAACAGAAGGTCAATTTGTTATTAGAATATCTTTGACAAAAGCCTATCTCATTTCCAATTCAGGAATGCTCTTTATGGTCATTACATTCTACTGTTGGGCTTGAGCGCGACCTTTCATTTTTCTGCTAGACTGCCGCAGTATGCCCGACATCTCTTTCTCCTGCTACTCCAATTTCCTGCTTAAACGCTCTAAGTATTATGCAGTGTTCCCATGTTCTGCATCTTAAAAACTACTTACTGTATCCATGACGATTACTGGTTGGCAGAAAAGAGTTATATACAAAGAATGTTTAAGTTGGCATAAGCTAAAATTGCAAATGGCACGGAAAATACGTGTAACGATGACTTACGGAAAAGGTAGAAATGAGTGAGGTTTCAGGAAGAAACAATGCACATTAAAGGGATTACCATATTCCTTAAAATTTGGCAATGCCTGGTAGAAATACAAATAATGTAACAAGTATATATTTTCAAATTCAAAATTAATCTAAAACCAGGTCTCCATTCTAATGAAAAACATTAGAAAATATCCCAAAGTTCAATTCGGTGCCATGTCAGAGAATATTCAAAACAAATGTACAGCTTCAGCCGAAACACAAAATAAACAGTGCTGTAAAAACTTCGCAGGGTTTACCTACCCAGTTGCTGAGAAGAAGTTAGTGATCGCTTGTGCTAAGATGTCATCTGCAGCCAATCAGATGATGCTGATGTCGGGTAAATGCAGACCTTGATACAGTAAAAATAAATATGTACGGGTGTTTGTTGTGTACTATAAAGCGTGTCAGGTCGTTCCAACTCCACTGAAATTTAATGGATATACCGTTTTCCATTTTAATTTTATACAAAAGAAAAAAAAATTCTTTAACACTCAACAACAAACACAATAATACGCTCATAAGGGTTTTCTTTCCAGAATACATATGCATGGTATATACCATTCAGTATATTCTTTTTCCAAATATTTAAGGTGGATGATCTGTATACACACATCATTCAGACACAGTTCTTTTGAAAATGAAAAAGTATAAATATACACCTTACTAACTAGTACAGCTTGCTAGTTCTTAGAAAGCACACCACCTGTTCTCGTTTGAGAGTTTGTTGATTTATCAACAAGGAGACATGGTCTTGTTATGTGAAGAACCTTACTAAGACTTTTGTTGTTAATGAGACTTGATAACATGAAAATGACATGTCACAGAAGACCTCCAAATAGCAACAACCTATACTGAATGCAGACTGGTGAAAAATGAGTGATGCGGTATATAAGCTCTTCACGAAGCCTGTTCTTCCCAAACAATGACAACCAATCAAACTTGCAAGAAAAACTGAAATTCATTACATGCTTGGGGGAGGGGGGGGGGGGAAGAAAAAGAGGAATATGGGAACAAACAGGGACACAAAATTAAATCTTTCATAACAGTAATTTCTTAGGACCCATAATACAATAGTGACAGTACTGATCTCCTGTTTGTTGTAAGTCAGGCCACTACAGCATTAGTAAACACCAAAGTCACAGATGCACTTATCCAGTAACAGATTAATAGTGACAAGCCAACATTTCAGAACAAGAACAAAGTTCTTCTGTTTTCCTTTACAGAAACGTCTTCACTGACTTCAGTCGAGAAATAAACTGTCAGCCACTTCATCTGCATCAAGTGACATTAATTATGTGCATTATATTGTGCCCAAACTTGACACAAACTCAAATGAACCCCACGCTACAGAATCCTTCTTGAGAAGTTGGTCTGTTCTGGTTAAAAATGTGCCTATATTTTATGGAACTTTAAGGTTTATTACCACACTCACTAGAGCCCACCACCAGTTCAAACTTATCATACAATGATTACTTGTATGTCAACTTGTTTTAAAGCATGGGTGCTGCTTAAATTTTAATAAATACAATAAATAATTTTTATTATACCTCTAAGAGAGCAACTTACGCTGTAATAAAATCAGATTGGAAAAATAATCTCTGACATGCAACAGAAATAAAAAATTTACACTGTCTGTAACTGTAATAAAAAATTTAACATCTCAAAACTACACGTATTATAACTGCAGTTTTCTCCAGACTGATAATCTCAAATTTCTTACTGTGCTGTTGTAGTTGTTAATTAATTTAAGTTAATGTCAAATTAACTGACAGCATCTGAAAGATGCCATATATCAAACCAAACGAAACTTCCTTGGGTCGATCTGACAAAAGCTGCATAAAATACAAAGTTCTTCATTACACAGCATTTCTCATTCCATCATTCCTTGCTTACATGAACAGAAATTTGGATGATTCGATAAACTGTTCAGTAAGACAACAGGCATTTTTCTAATCTACGACTGTTCTTATATCGATTATATTCCTATGAACATACACATAGAATCTTGCTGAATGGATGTAATTCCCAAAACAAGTTCGCCAAATTTTGCATAACGTTACTACAAGTTGATCACAGTGACACATACAATTAGTGCAGATGATGACGGAAATTAAAGAGAAAGAGAATAAAAAAACCTCTGCATACTGATCTTCATCTCGGAGAAAACTGCAAGTCAATACAGTGAACAGCCTCGAAGCTCTGTTCATTATATCTGAATATAAGACACATTAGGCCAAGTACCTCATTTGGTTTGCTCCATTAAGCTTAAGGAAAGTGTCCATCGCTGGCCCTTGACTGATGAGCTGATCCAGTGAGTTAAAGCTGTTCTTGTTGCCTACAACTTGTACATGGTGATCACTTTGTACATGTCTGTTCTGATCTGCGTAGGTTAACTGACATATTTCACAGTAGCCAGACACAATGGCAGAGTTCCGTAACGCTACTGCCGCATCATTCCCTCGCTGAAAACGACTCCGAGCCTTACGAGTCATTCTGAAAAACCGAGCTACATTTCATAAAATAATACTGCATTCAAAGGGTCATCAAATGGAACACATCAAAAGATCTCCTTGTTTGTCACCTGCACTCAATACGGGCTGTTAAGATGCATTTGCGCACTTTGCATTAGTGAAATCAGCACCTCCAAGCTCATCAATTTGAGAAATAATTTCGCTTCATCTTTCATATAACTTGAAAGAGAATAATATACATGCAGTAATGAATTAGAAAGGATTTAAAAGGAAGCAATCATCCCAGCACTTCAGTCAGTGAGAAAGCCATAGGTTGAAAAATAAATCTGGGGCCTTCAAACTAAATATATACACTCGACTATTATATATGGTGCATAATAAAGAAAAATCTCAACATGATAAAATTAGAACATGACAATTTTTTTAAATTTCGTTACAGACTGCACAGGCAGGTTACTATAATGTCTTTAGAACATTAATGGAAACAAAAGTTGCGTAGTTAATCTAATGTCATTTTAATCCACTGAAAATTTTGTCATATTATTATATATTAATTTCTTAAACAAATGCTACAGTCTACATAAAATCACTGTATGATGAAACAAACAACACTCGTAACAACACATGTCATCTTAAGACCTTGTGGGAAGCCTATGGCAATCTAGGGCATTACATTCAAGGAAAAACAATGAAACTTATTCACATCACTTGATTTTATTAGTGTAGTAAAATACACGTGATTAGAATTTAGTAACTAATGTGTTCAGTTACGTCGTTACTTCTGGGTATCACTTTTACCTGTCCTACATACGGTGCCCTTCATACAAGACCTTTGTAGTTGAAGATATTTTTAGCGTCCTTTAACGTGCGTCTGTAGTACTGACGAGCGGACATTTCCCCTTTCTGTCTCAGGCTTGTTGTAGGGCATAGCTGTCTCAAATGTTTTATTCCAGTGAATAGATTATTCTTTACGCATTCCTTTTTTTTTGGGGGGGGGGGGGGGAGAGAGCACTCCACACATACAGTTCTACATTAAATATTACTTTACTTAACTTACAATAACCCACTGTCAATTTTGGCATGATATGACAAACATAAAATTTAACACATACAAAATTGGAAAGAAACAAACCTTGGGGTCTCCAAAGGATGTTTTGTGGACCGTGCTGCATCATTTGCTTCTTTTCCTTCTTCTGTTTGTTTTCCTGTACATCGGTCTTTCTTATCTGACACTTTAGGAGGACTGAATGCACAACCTCCTGGTTCAAAGTCCAAGTTAATAGTTGGCCACACTGACAGTTCCTTATACAATGGCCTGGAATTCCTGTTGAAGTGGAATAAAGCATGAATTTCACTTTCCTTTCATCTGAAGACAAAATGAAAAAAAATCAAGTGATGCCATTCTTCAACCAATACTGCTAATGGAGCTCCAATATTTCTTCACTCTAAACAATCAAATAAATCCAAAACTCGGACACAAATGCAAACTTTTTACAGCTGTCTGCAGTATATGCTTACACATAAAATTCACATTTTCATTTTCAACCAGCTTACACACTGACATATACAGACAGGATCACACTGTCTGCAAATTCTTAGGCTGCATGGGAAAGAAAGAAGAAAAAAAGGGGGGGGGTAAGAAAGGAAGAACAGCAAACTGTACTCCCATACTTATACAATACAACACACAATATGAAACGGCTAAATGACACGGCAAATGTGTCATATATATAAAAGTAATAATGTCTCGCCGTCACAGATTTCTATTATGAAACTGAAACTATATATATATATATATATATATATATATATGATGTGACGTTTTCACTGCAGTGAAAATGTAGACTAGTATTCTCCTTGCCACAGCACAGTCGCAGCTACTAACAGTGGCGTTACAAAAATCACAAACTAATCCATGTCAGTGTATATTTTTATCAAGTACTACTCTGAAAACAAAATTGCTGACCTGCAAATAAAAAGTATTTGTACAAAAAAAGTCAAAACAATGAATAGGTAGAGCAGCCTCAATACAGACCTCCACAGGTAGAATGAGACTGGAAAGGTGTAATCCATACCTGAATACACAGACGTTCTTTGCAAATTCTAAATTATTAATAACAAATTCCATCAGTTATCTTACTCAGACAACTTTAATTTCCAATAATACAAATCATAAATCAATATCACTGTCATAAGGAATATTAGCTCTGTGGTAGCACGCTGCTCTCGTATACATGGGGGTCACAGGATCAAATCTTCAAGTCCAATGTTTTTCTCTAATGCAGACATTTTGTTACCTTACACTATACAAAGGACAACTTATCCAAAATTTAGTATTTTCCAAAAATCTATAAAAACACATCATTTTATGGCCCTGCTGCAAGTGGAGCTACCGTCAATCCAACCTCACAAGTTTGTTCACATCTTCTTCTTCTATGGCTCTCCGGTCCGTGGCCTCCTCAGTTCTCCTCTTCCATTTGGTCCTCTGTTAGGTCTGTCTGTCCGAGGCTTTGATCAAGGTTTCGAAGCGTCTTCCTTTTTATGGTGCAAGGTTGTTAGCCTTGCGACCAACCCCCAACCTGGAGGACCAGGGTACCTGTCTTAGTCTGACCTCTCCCCCTCGATCAATCTGGCTAGGGAGGCCCTACCAGTAGCTCTTGGGGTCACTGAGGTTCTCAAGCCCCACCACCACGACAAGGTGCAGGTTTATTTAATGCACATCACGCAAAGAACACATAATACAAGGATCAGTGTCCTACATATGAAGGGACGAGAAGTAGGAAGAGAGAAAAAACTGTTGTTTACATGCATCCTAATTTAACATACTGTGATCTCTCCTTACCTAAGTTTCAATTTACTAGGCTCTTATATTGCCGTACATTTTTAGTTTTCATCATCATATTTTACCTTAAGTCTGTATTATACAACCTGGAACATTTGTATCTTTTTATGAGCTTCAAATAAATGTACTTGCCTGTTAATGCTTTCAATCTTAATAAAAGGTGCCCTTAATCCAGTGGAAGATAATTTTATTTTATCACAAGATGATGATCTTTTCAAATATTTCTCACAAATTTTATCCAACCACCTGAGAATCTGAAATACACAAAAGTTCACATTAGTAAATTACAAGCTCAGAACGAAATGTTATCAGTCCCAAATTCCCCAACAGGTGTCAGAATCTTACACTCCATAGCAAAGCAAGTATTTGCAATATGTTTGCACTCTATAGGACATAGAAAGTGGAAAATATTCATGATCCCATGCAGCATCCTGAAACTGGACTCACCGAAGGTATATCTGTGGCCAGACAAAGGCATAAGATTTGTGCTATTGGTATTGAATTTGAAGAAAAATAGTTTAGTTAATTTGTAATTTGTCTCGTGATAACAAAAGATTGTGTCCCATCAGATCTGTAACTACTGTGTCTCTACCTCACCTCTTGCTAACACCAGAATTTGTTGTTTCACTTCCCCCCCCCCCCCCCCCCCAATATTATCTTTCCTTTTACTTCCCTTCATAAATGGAATGGACAATCTGTCTACCAACTGAGAAGTTTGGCATGAACTGCAATGAGAAATGCTGACTGACCAAGTTAACATGAAATATTTTCCTCTGAACTGCAACTTAATCATAAACTTCATCTTATAATATTAAATTTTTCTTCCCAATTTGGAAAGACGTTTTATTAGCGACAGTCATTTTACAACTTCTCTCTTCAGTTCTCACAATATATAAAATAGTGTGTATAACAATATAAGGACATTTTTCTTTTTGAGACATCAGAAGAAAAAAGTCAACTCAACTGGCAAGACTTAAACCCCTGAATTACTATGTACATTTATCCTTATTTGATGACTGTAAAACCTACTTTCTCTAGAGGCCATATGGGAATACTCCAGCGAGCAGCATTATCTAGTGGATCAACTGTGCATTGTTGTGGCTGTAGCTTGGCCCTCTCCAGCATTGCCTCCGCTCGAGTCTTCTGTATCAGATAATAGAGTCAAGTTAATGATACATATTTTAATTTGTGTTACAAATGCAGACGTCCATCACTGAAGAGTATAACTACGTCAAAACACCGTGGAGAGATGTCACTGGATCGCCAGTGTATATTAAAGCTACAGCATTAAATCATCAAAATTTATGAAAATAAAAGTTATATGACTCTGGAAAACATGGAAGAAAAACCTTTTTGACAATTCTTAATGAAAATAATATTAAAGTTGTTGGTTTATGTTTCAAGAGAACACAGCTGATTGAACTTCCAGTGAGACCGAAATGTCAACAAACAACTTACAGATCTCTTCTTTCCCCCCCTTCTCAATCCATCTCCTGGTGAGTCAAGTGTGGCTGGAGATTCGTTGGAACACTGCCCACCGAGAGGAGTCAAGGAAGATGATGGAATAGCACCATATTTTGGTGTGCTGCCACTAACAGAGCCACCACTTGCAGCTGTGCCAGCACTGGTCCAATGTGGCCGATCTGTCACTACATAGTTCACTTCCTTTACCAGAAACCATTCAACTGTCTGCAACAGATAGAAACAGTTAATGTGTCTTTAAACCAATAAAAGAAAGTTGGGGTGATTAAATTAAGAAGCACACAGTTACATAGACAATATACACAAAGCTAAAGTTGTCCCTGGTGTTCCACTAACCACCATGCCATGCAGACATATCAGGGAGTAGATGCTTAGCTCCACACATTCTTGATCTTGGCACTACTACATAGCAATGTGTGACCATCTTCTTAACCAGGTTGCTTTACCCCCGAGAAAGAAACCCTCGTACCCACTGGACAAGGGGTGGATGTGACCCAGAGCTGATCTGGACATTGTACCACAGAGAAAATTCAAGATGGGCAATCATCATATTCTAAATATAATTTGTATCAGTACCACAACATGCCAGGGAACGATTAAAAATATCAACAGGAGTGGCCAAAAAAAGGAACAGCAGCCACTTCAAACACAACATGTAAACATGAACTGCGTGCTTCATGATATTCAGAATGGTGCCTTACTTCAAAAAACCATGTTCCAGATATGATGTGCTACCAATACCTTTGCATGACTATCCACTGTCTGTAAATTAAAATTTACATTTCCCAGATTCACTCTGTCTTTGTCACCATGCAAGAATGCACCTACCCTATGGGGCACATTATACAAACCTAGTCTTTAACACTGGATGCACAGCCAATCGCCACAACACATTCAATTCTAAAAAAACATACAATAATAATGTCCTAACAAAGTATCATAATAATTGAAAGGAACATTTTAATACTGTTTTATGACTACTCTAAACCTCTTACATCTAATTCTATCATTGCTGTATTCATAGTATATACAAAGTCAAGAGACGAAAAGTATGACAAATGTATGTGTTTGAAGGATCTTCATCAACATTTCAACACTGGATACAATTCTCAATGTGCATACCACTCTGAACCACATGCACCACCCCACAATAAAAACTGCAATATTTCCCAAATGAATGCACATATATGATCTCAATACAAAGAAATGATATATACTGGTAGCCTCATGAGTTGAATCTGATACTTTATCATCACATTTTCCTATCAGTTTGTCGTTTAGGCTATGTAACACATCAAACACAACAGCTGAGTTCAATAATATACAACCTCATGTACAAACACTTAAAAAAACTGAGAGGTAAACATTGTGGAACAACTGTCTTTGCTAAAGGTTAAAAATAATGGATGTTCAAGGTGACTTTAAAACATTTTTACAGCTACAAAATACTTCTTTATATATGGGATGTACCAAGTACTTGAGATGGTGTCATTTAGATAGCTATCTTCATAATAGTTTGTAAACAACAGTAAATAGGTCTTAGACCCGCCTCCCCGATACGTACACAATTGCAGTTTTTGTCATCTTAAATTAGCCTCAGACACCCAAAGACGCGTAATTTAATAACACACAATGCAATTTCTATTCCCCAATTAGGATTTTAACATTTTCGAAGCCACTTTAAGTAATTTCAATCCATTAATAAATTAACTTTACCAAAGCTGTCACACAAAATGGCTTTATTCTATTCCGTTACAAACGCTTTCCAAAAGACGGCAGCATAATCGCTGGAAATAAAGATGGCGGCAGCTCAGCTAAGCCTTTTAGTATGTATTGGTTGTTGCTCCCTCCTCCAAAAACATCAATCAATGCGCGACGTTCAATTTTGCGACGTCGACGCACAAAGAACTTTTAATAATGTACAAAATCACTGTAAATCAATGCAGGAATAAAAAGCATATCACATATCCCGATGCAAGTGCAAGAAACTGCAACTACCTAGTACTTCTACATCTGCAAATAACACCTGTAACGCCATTGGATGGACGAAAATGGAATTCTAAACGAAATGTAGTAATTTGTGTTTATCAGACAAATGTATTATGTCGGTCGACTTCACACATATACATCGTTGTATTGGGAAGGTTGATTAACATTCAATGGTCTCTCAGGGATGGGAGGAACTGGCATGCCATTCCAATGTTACAACACCAACTAGTCCATCCACTTTGCATTTGATTGTAAAAAGCACTAATAAGGGAACACAATCCTCAGTCACCCACCAAATAAATAGCAAATTTTAAAGAACAGCACAAGAAACATGTTAGTTATACAAATACTTTTCAATTTATGTGACAACTGTGTTCAAAAGAATAGTCGCAGAGGGTGATATCACATAAATACAAAAAATCCCTTTCCCCTCACACTCCTCAGTCACCCTTAAAAATACTTTACCCCCCTCCTCACTGGATAAGCCAGTAAACAATTCACATTACGAAAGTGCTATTATTTAAATCAATCTAAATTACTTTAGTATGCTCAAATTAAATTGCATTTTTTAAAACATGCAAATAATGAGGAGTACCTGTACCAAAACTACGGGTTTGGAATGCTTCAGATAACACTATTAGCATGTACTAGACATTAACTGAATAGACCAAAGTTCCAGCATTCTGCAATTACTAATTATTAGTTTCTTTAAAAATGAAAGTCTGATAATTCAACATAACCCCAAAAGACAAATTTGAAATTTATGAGCTTTTTTATTGTTTCATCAGTCCCTCTAGGTAAACGCTAGGATAATACCTTAAATTAGGCCATGACAACTTCCTTCCACATCCTTTTCATTTCATTACTCACTATCATCCTCTCATCAGACACTATATGGTCTAGATATTGAAAGCATCATTAAATGAACTATAAATGAATAAAAGAGTTCAATAAATTAATGTCTTGGATGATTCTCTAGAAACCAATCTTCAGCAAAGGTTCTCAATGGATCCAAAAATAGTGGAAGCAGTCATGCAGCTCACTGTACACTTTCCTTGAAACTAGACATGTAGAGAGCGTACCATTTAATGTGGAACCTGCCACGGCAGTATGCTGCAGCAGCAGTGAGGCAACTACCATGAAATGAATTAGTCACAGTGCTGAACATAGTTGTTGCATACTTGTTCAGTAAAGATTTTCATAAAAATGAATAATATACTCTGAAAAATAAACAGCAAAGATATCAAAGCACCAATCTAAACCTAGTCAGTATTGCAATGCCCACATTAGTGATCCATGGTTAAAAACAGAAATTCCTTTGTCTCAGACCCAACAACTCAGTAAAAATACACTAATACAATACCTAATTTACACTGAATACCACATAGAACAATATTCCTCTGATACTATTACGATACATTTCTCAGCCTGGAACTGAGAAGCATCAATACAAACAAAACATGTATGCTTACTGCTCCTAGTGACTTCAGTTTCTGTTCGAGGTTACTTGAAGCAATGTGATTTTTTAGATCCAAGTAGAATTTCTTGTTCAGTAAAGGTTTGGCACCACTGCATTTCTGACTTCGACCTGAAATGGATGATGAGTAATTTAGGCAGTGTACTACAGCAGTTAAAAATTGAAGTAATGGTTTACTTATATGACACATTCACATGACAAAATTATTTGGTACATGAAACATAAGACAATTACAACCTACCTTCTTTTTCCTTCTGCCTGTCTGTTTTGGAAGTTGATAACATTCCTTCATGTAAACACAGACTTTCAACACAGAAAATAACCAAGCTGTTTACACACGCCAGTTCGACGTAGGTTACATAATAAATATTCCAAAGTGCGCATTTTGTGTGACTAACAATTTTACATTATTCATACCGTAATAGTTGCACAGGCATCCCTACTTCCATTACATCGTATGGCCAAACTGACCCGCAAGAGAATAGGTCAATTACAACCGCCCGTATGAAGCTTTCATGACACAGAAAATAACGGCTCAAGAAATAAAATTGTTTCTAAAATATACTCTTTATCTACTGTAGCTTCTGTGTGACACGTAAATAGCGTCTTAACCATGCATAATTCACATCAATCATTCAAATAGTCGTTTGCACACATTTCTCCACCACGATCCCACCACAACAAACACCATCACTCACAGTGGCACGCTCTGGCGGCATTGCGTTATATATAGAATACACAACACGATCAGAATGATATTGATTTTAAGCTAAACATCACTCACTCCCAGCTGTTCAGTGAAGCGTTTCATGTTGTTAGTCACTGCTATTCACAAATGCCGAAGAATAAAGTCAAATTTCTATTAGCAAAGTCATCATCAACACCGCTGTATCACACTTCCCGTCTAGACATTTACCGCCAAAATTTCAAATAACACAGCACAAATAATTTAATGAAGATCGCTTAGCGCAATTCAGGAGTTATTTAAAATTGTAAGCATACCGGAAGTATGAAAGCGGGAAATTTAAACATAAAGTTGTTTTCATGCCGTTCCTTTCTGATATAAATTCGTCGCAACACAATAAATAAATCAAAATTAAGTTGATATGCACAATCGATTGTTGGTTTAATTCCCCCCCACCCAAGGGTTTTGTGTGAATAAAATTGTGATATATTGCATTCTCCTGTTTCAAACTGCTAACAGCTAGCACAATTCAAGTACATAAATCTTCAGCACACAGATAAAGTTCAATAACTAGTCACTTATTTATTGTACATTAACCACAAATATGTAGTCATCCAAGGGTAAGAGAGAAACTAATTTTCACCGAGGTTAGCGAACTCAGTAATGAATCTTGCCTGCTCATAACCAAAAATCAATCTACTCAGTAATAGCCTTACACTGCAGGTTCTTAATTCATTCCCTTAAACTAAAAGCCTGAAACTGAATCCCATGGCCAAGCGGTTTCCACTCCTACTTTGCATTTGGCAAGTACTGGGTTCAGACCTACATGCTATATAGTCTGAGCTACTGTCAGCATTATTGAACAAGCCACAAATAAATAAAGGCCAGGAAGCAATTATTTCCTCTTTTTTTTCTCCCACTCATCTTATGCTTTTAGACATATGTAATCTTTACAACACCATTCAGAACCCCCACCCAAAAAGGGTACTAAACCCAGATTGGGTAGACAACATGTAAGTAAAAACATAGAACTGTCAAAATACCAATAATTATCCTGAGTTTATTCACATCCCCCCCCCCCAATCTTTCCAAGCTGACGTTAGAATATTACCGACACAGGCTATACTGACTTCCTTTACAATCTATAATCCACACAGCTGAAAAGTGTCACTAAATAACCTAAGAAACAGTCAGTTAACTATTAAGTCAACCTCGGTGTTAGAAACATCAATGACAGATCAAAGTCAAATCAGCCTTATTCAATGAAAAATTAAAATGATTCAAGGAATTAGAAGGCTCATTTCTCTCATACACATTGTCATGATTACACTTACAGAGTAAATCATAACATTTACAAAGCCAGATCCATTACTTTAAATAGAACTTCTAGACCTACACACTACAAACTTAGCTTTCCTTGAAAGATGGAGGTTAAGACTTTATGTAATGTTGAAAGCTCCGCTTAACACTAACATGAGGAAACACCATTCTCCAATATGCCACTTCACTGTCCTGCACTTGGTCACAGAAACTTACATCCAAGAGCTGCAGCTTCGTACACCTTGTCAGGAACCTAGGCACAACAAAGCGCATATAATTAACGGAAAACTTACTTGTATTTTTAATGCTAGTATTTCATGTATTCCTTGCACAAACTTAATACATATGAGACAATGTAAGATTTGAGGTTTTCACAGTGGTGAGAATGAAGATTTCTGTCTTCTGGGTTGTTGCGCTGTGTAGTCTGGTCGATGTTAACCAACGTTTCAGAGGTCATACTGCCTCCGTCATCAGGCCCTGATGTGTACTCCATTGCATTTGACCTTTCTAATCTCATACTAATCTAGTTATGAATAATGAAACATTTGTCTGATTCACAGCCAGTTACAAATTGAAGGAAAGGATAGTTTCAGAGCTAAACTAGGACAAACTAGGGCAATTTTCAGCAAAAAATTAGACCAGCTGAGAAACTAACTTGACACAGATGTCAGACGTGATACTGCGCCCACCCAACAAGTCAACCTGTTCAAGGGCTGGGCAATGTTCGATGAACGGTTCGAGATCTCGATCAGTGATGCCCCTCAATGCTGAAAGAAATAACTTGCGAAGACTACGGCATCCAGTGGCCAGAGAATAAAGACTGTCTCCAGGAGCACCAATACCCAAACTGAAACAGCATGGAACAAACACTGTGGTGTTGAGGTTAATTCTTCTGCTTCACATTGTACATTCCTATTCATATTCCTTGGTTTGACTCTCAATTAGAAGAACAGCGATCACATTTACAATTTATTTTGTTTTCCTCAGTTACTTCAGGCAAATGCTACTAGAAGGACAAAATTGTTCCCTCTCAATTACAACTCAGCATTCATAATTCTGCTTCCATAACTATTTATATAACTTATTCACCTCAAGTAAACTATAAATCCAATGAAATAGTTCAGCATGTTAAGGTAAACTTCAGAACTGACAAGTTTCTATCTGAAAAAAACACTGATAGAGTGTCATAAAGTACGTATAACAACTTATGTAATGATAACAAAACATTAAAATATTAATATGTTACAAAAAACAAAATAAAGTACTTAAGGAGCGCATGTGACAGGATTCAATTAAATGAAGTTTACATAATCAAAACATTTGTCTTTCTACAAAATTAAGCTAAAAAATACACACACATTGTGGGAAAACCAAAGAACTGTATCAGTATAGTGGGTCACCTCACAAATATGAAATAGATATTACAACTACTCAACCATAACATTCACTACAGTGTACAAAATGAATTAAATTTAAGGAAAAAAAACACAACGAGCTTAGCCAAGCATCAGATTCTTGATTTATTTATAATGAGCAACAACAGTAGAATCACTCACCACCACCCCAGGTCCAATTCCTCCAGTTTCCCACATTTGTGCAGAGCTCTAACACCAACTGGTGTCAGGCTATATGTCTTCCAGAAATCCACAGATACCAGCTCCTTGTTATATGTCGCAAGCGTCTGAGCAATGTCATCCATGCTTGATATTCGTACACATGACCCTGTAATAAAACCTTCACTTTTTACACTAGTACATCAAATCTTACAACATAAATTTGATGGTGAACTGAAATAATGACAATAATGCTAGTGTAGTCATGGTGGTGGGGCTTGAGTACCTCAGTGACCCCAAGAGCTACTGGTAGGGCCTCCCTAGCCGGATTGGTCGAGGGGGAGAGGTCAGACTAAGACAGGTACCCTGGTTCTCCAGATTGGAGGTTGGTCGCAAGGCTAACACCGTAAAAAGGAAGACGTTTCGAAACCTCGATCAAAGCCTTGGACAGACGGACCTAACGGAGGACCAAATGGAAGAGGACAATTGAGGAGGCCATGGACCGAATACGGACCGGAGAGCCATAGAAGAAGAAGTATAGATTTAAATTACATCACACTTCTGAATTAAGCCTCAGCTATATAGAAAAACTGTAAAAACAGGAAAACAAATATGTAATATGATGGTTTCAGAATATTTGATAAGGATAAAACTGTTTTCTTACATACCCATATTGATGTGTTTAAGTTGAGGTGATGATTTCAGTATAGCTTTAAGTGGCCCCAAATCTATGAAAGTTCGATACAGATCCAAATACTGGAGGTTCTTCAATGATGCTAGGCTTTGGAAACCTGATTCTGTGACGTTATGGCAGCATCGAAGACCAAGTTCTGTGCATTCAAGATAGAATTTTGCACCATACCAATGTATATAGTCTACATATTATCTTGGACCACAAATCACTTTACACTCTATAAAAACTGGTTATAGTTGCCTAGCCATAATATCAGTGACAGAAATGTAGAAAAATGGCAAGTTGAAAAGATTTTATACATAAAAACTAATGCTCACATGCACATACATATGGCTAGAGTAGTTCTTTCCTGCAGTAATAGAAAATAGCTATTTATAACATAAGAATACATACAATGTATATAGTCTTCTTTGATTTTTTAGCAAAACAATAGTTAACTTATGGTACCTACCTTGCAAATTCTTACACTTGTCAGACACCTTCATGGCACAGCGATTGTCTGCAAATTTACAGGAGTTTAGTCTCAAATGAGTAAGCTGACTTCCACACTCCTCAATAAAACTGAAACGATGAAATGAGCACAATTAAAATCAGAGTGGGAACATGAACTCTAGTAGGCAAATTACACAGAACTTTGTGCCTGCACCTTGTCGTGGACCTCAGTGACCCCAAGAGCTACTGGTAGGGCCTTCCTAGCCAGATTGGTCGAGGGGGAGAGGTCAGACTAAGACAGGTACCCTGGTCCTCCAGGTTGGGGGTTGGTCGCAAGGCTAACAACCTTGCACCGTAAAAAGGAAGATGTTTCGAAACCTCAACCTCGGACAGATGGACCTAACAGAAGGATCGAATGGAAGAGGAGAATTGAGGAGGCCATGGACCGAACGCGGACCGGAGAGCCATGGAAGAAGAAGAATGTGGGCTCTTGGGATAAATCTGAATGGAAGGAAGCAGTAACCCTTGGACTTTGTCACTCATCTGGTATTCAACAGAATACAATGTAACTGGACCACTGAACAGTCTAGTGACTGAGGTTAGCTATTTCTAATGAACCCAACTGAGTACGAGCCCCTTCCCTTTTCACCTAAGGATGGAAAAAGATTCAGTTTGTGAAACACTGTGTTCTTTTGAATACCAGACGATGGACAAAGTCCAAGAATCTAGTAAACCCAAGTGTAATACATCATGATCAGAATTCTTTAAAATTGAATGGATAGAATTGTTCACCAAATATAAAGTGCTGTAACACTGACTTTTATGCTGCAAATTCTACAACAAAAATGAAACGAAATGAATTAAACACTAAATATTACGTTATTATATAAAGACATACCAATGTCACAATTTATAAAAATCAACAGACTACAATCGGAGGGTCACCTGATTCGGAGGGATGACATCCGAATTCCAAAGATGGTATTCAAAGGAAGTGTTGGAGGAAGAAGACCAGTTGGAAGACCCAGGAACAGATGGGAGGATGCAGTTCAAACTGATGCCACACTGCTCCTGAGGATTAGAAATTGGAAGAAGGCAGCTGAGGATAGGACCGAATGGAAGAGGAGAATTGAGGAAGCCATGGACTGAATATGGACCGGAGAGCGATAGAAGAAGAAGATATTACGTTATATAAAGACAGAGACTTAACTGTAATAGTTATTAGTGTTGAATAAGATGGGAAGATGTTCATGAATGGCAAATAGATAAGAATCAACCAAATACAGACCAGAATTGCTATGAAGTACTGCACAGCTATCAAGATTCTAGTGAATGGATGCACAATGCCTACCATAAAACAGACTTATGCTTTTTCCTCACCAACATCAAATATGTGAGTAAAATGACAAATATAAGAGGTCTAACAGAATTCTACAATTCATCTCCTAGAAAGTTTGCATACCTGTGTCTTATAATAAACACTTATCGATACAATTTCTAAGGAACCAATAAAAGTTGTAATCCTGAAACTACACTTATAGTTTTACTCTTAATGGACTTCAATATATGTCTGCCTGTCCTCCAATGTTGGATTTGATGAACAAGTAGAATAACATAATTGAATTACTTTATGAACTTAAATTGCCTGCTGGGCCTATCTTTTTGTTCTTAAAATTTCTGTCACTTTTAAATAAAGTCTGATATAAAGATTGACAGCTCAGCACTATGCAAAGGCACAGAGTGGCCCTAGAGAAAAAGCTCGATTGATTCATAACATCAGCATTAGATGCAGGTGACTTCCTAAACATTCCACTGCTATATTATGTCATCTAACACAGAAACTTACAATTTTATAAATGTGACACAAATGTTGGTGGTAACAAGTCTGATCATACCCACATCCTCAGAATATGAATGTATTGAAAACTCACTCTACAAAATCCCCTGATGTGATATGGACAAAGTCTCCACACCAGGACAAATCCAACTTCTGCAGGTATTGGCACCGTTTTGATAGTGACCTTAAAGCAGCAGATGTTGCACAGTACCAGTAAACCTGGAATATATCATGACATGTCAAGTCCCACAAAAGTTGAAACAAAACTAAAAACATCAAGTAAAACAACTGAGTATACTGGAAAATTGGTATCACACAACAAATATTTTGGAAGAAAATTTAATTCTTTAGGCAGTTAAAATATATGCAAATACTTAGAGATAAGCATTTAACAGTTCAAAATCATAGCAAATACTAAATTATTTCGTCTGGAATGCAGACATTCAACATGAATGACAAGAATATTATCTTAAATAAATATTAACTGGCATACAAGACATATAAAGACCATCTCTGCCTCAGTCATCATTCTCCTGATGATGGAGTCAGAGGTGGTCTCTAAAACATCAGGTTTTTGTCCACAACTGACATGGCTTCTTGCCTGAAAAGATTTTATTAAGTTAAGTCACAAAGAAAGCTCAGGTTAGCCAATACCTTCTGTTATATTCATTTATCAGCGTCACTTCTAACACCAAACAGATCTGGAAATGTCAAATCCACAGATGAGTAATAATGACTTTTGTCAATTTATTCCCTTTTGCAGATTCACAGTTTAACTGTGATAATACCAAAACATCAATCAAGATGGCTGGACTGTGGGCTGAGATTTGAAATTGGGATGTCCCCAATACAAAGCACTAAAGCAGGTGTGCCTAATCATTATACTGCAACATTCAACACAATTCAAAATAAACAGACATAACCTAGCCAAAAAGTTGTACAAACCTTCAAATTGAGCTCAGTGTAGAGGAGAGAGTCTGTAGCCAGATCATGGAAACGCCTGCTCACTTGGGCACAACTGCACAATGAAAGCAAGCTAAGGTATCCAAAAATCTTCAATACAGTTTCATCCTGAAAAAAAAGTGCTACTGTTAATAGGGCTTCCTTTCTGGAAAAAGAAACTGTGAGCCCTCTATACCACCATCGAGAAGTAGGATACCAGTATGATCACAAGGGGTGTCATCATACCGTACAATAATGACCATACACGTGCGGCTGGCAATGTCAACAACACGCTGTGTTCAATGTCCTGCAAAGTGTTGGACAATTCCCGATACAGCCCAGATCCATTACCATGTGACTTTCATGTGTTCAGGGCCCTGAAGAAAGTTTTAACGACCTGTTGATACGGATCAGACGAAAATGTCGAGGTCATGGTGGTGAATTTGTTCGTTTCTTTATACTAAATCCTGATTCAGAATACTGTTGACAAAACTAATGCAACTCTATCTGATGTTCTTAAAAGTAGTGAACTGAGAATAGTCCCTATCGCACTCTGCAATTTGAGAACTACAGCCTACAAATTCACTTGATAGAAATTTGTTTATGTCCCTATTTCTGAAAGTGCTTTACAAAACACTTCATCAGCAGTTGTGTTTAGGTTTCATATTATATTATTGAGGCATGACAGCCACAAAGCAGAGCAGAGCTACATTATGACATAACCAGATCCAATGAAGACTGACATTTTCAAGAAACTAATATAATTGTACATTATTATACACCAATTAAGCTGCCTGTATGCAGTATTCCTATCTCAAAACTTTGTATATGGGCAAATGGATTAATTCTCCACCTTTCATCTGATGCCTGTAGCTTAAAAAAATATAAATACATTTTATTTTTTTAATTAACTGCATTTTGATGCTAGACGATTTTCATTTAATCCAGCTGTCCTTCCAACACAGCCTCAGTTCAATTCCATGTTTAAAAAGTTGCAGTTAGTACTGTAAAATCACCATAAATTAAAGTAAAATATTGTAGCATGCTCTCAGATGGACCGAAGAAAATCCTGAAATCTTCAGTGTGTTTGAGTGCAGTGCAGAATAACCCTCAGTGGTTAGTGTGACTTACATCAAAAGACTACTGAAAAATCAAACACACTAACAACGTACAGGCAAACAGTCAAAACTCTCTGTTCCAGTGGACGGAATCATTTTGTTAGAAGCCACCATGACCTGGGCTGCTTCTTCAGTTTCTTTCAATAACTGTGGAAGCTCCTCATCAAGAAAGTTCACTATGGAATTTGGAATATCCAGCTGAAACAGTTAAAAAAAGAAATAAAACAGATCAATATTGTCAAATTTTAAATGAATGTTTCATTTTTAATTTTAAACCACGTGTAAAACCGTAACGCACCTACTCAGAATGCAAGTACAGGTTCTAAATTTCTGATGTAATTATACACTCGTCATCTTCGTGCTTTCTCGCTAATCTTGCCCTCAGATCACCATAGCAAAACTGCATCCTTCTCTAAATAAAGTTTCTATATTATTTTATTTTACCTTCAGTAATGGATAACCTTTGTTTCATTGGCTGAGCCACAGTAGAATCTACGGAATCTTAATAAAGCGAACATTTCCTGTTTAGATGACATGCAAATGCAAAAATGTCAACATTATCTTGGAAACCCTTAACATGTGTGTGAATACAACCTGGGGTGGAATGTTGTGAATATTAAGCTGCAAGATCTGTGATGTCAGTTTTCCAACTTTTGGCACAATGAGATCATAACTGGGTACTTGCTGAGTCTCTGGACTGACAATTGGCACTTTGGTTCCCACGAATAACACAGCATCCAGCTCTGTATAGTATTCAAGGTGTGACTGGTCAAACTCCAAGCGGAGCAACCTGAAATATATCCGAGTAGACTTTTTAGCATTCCTATCATAGTGCTAATAACACTTATAATGCTGAAAATAATACTTTGGTTTACCTCAAGAACACAAATTTATGATATTAACCCTCTGAAGCCAAAAACTGTCTAAATAATTTTTATGAATTCAGTCTGTATTACAAGGAAAACACAATCCATAACCATTAAAAAGATATAAATCAGTCAATTATGTTTAAGGAAATAATCGGTTTACTCTGAGAATCATATGAAACCGACATATACACTCTGTGGGCAAAATTCAGAATTACTGACTGTTAAATGAGGTGGTGCACATTTCCCACTAGTTTATTAAAAATGAAGAATAAAATGCTAAGAATATTTGAACCTATGAAAAAGACTACAAGGTGCAATATCGCAGAGAAAAGCCATCTTTACGGAATGAAATGTTCATTCTGAATTTCTTCCCCAAAGTCAGACAGTTAATTCAGCATTTTAGAAAGAAGTCTTCCACATATCTGAGCCAAACCATCCAATGGAAAAGACTTGGAGAATTGGTGGAATGGTTGGATGCTCCAACATTACAATGTGCCCTGCCACATATATATATATATATCGAAAAACCAGGTTATAAAGGGTAAAAACATTTCCCATGTTACCATAAATAGCCTACTCTCTTGACCTGTCAGCACGTGAATTCTGGCTATTCCTTATACTCAAAGAAATTAGGAAAACAAAGTGATTTGACATAACGGACGACAACGTTTCCAGAATACAGGTGATTCCAAAAGGCTTCCAGAAGCATTTCCAACAGTGGCAAGAGCACTGACTGGAACAAGTGTGAATGATGAAATAGGTTATTCACTAAACTTTCCTTTCAAGCCCTGTATATTATTAATGAACTGCTTCAGCCCCAAACCACCTGCTTACTTCGTCGGAGAATCAATGGTCTGTATAACAGGAGAGAAAACCCTGGGAGTGTGGCCAACAAGCTGAGGCTCTCCCTCCCACAGCAACCTCCAGTGGTTCTGGACATCTGCTGCCCATATCCGAACCACAGAACCAGGGTTGTACGTCTCATACACGCTTACTCTGAAGGGGTATACAGCTTCCTCAAACAGCAAGTCTAAGAGGACAACAATAAAAGGTTTACTTTGATCAAGTGTTTAGTCTTAAAAGTTACTAGTTTCTATGCACTGCAGCTGGACTACAACATTTATATTTTTAATAAATACCATAGACTTCTGATAGAAAAATACTCAATTATATTTATAATGTTTTAACAGATAAAAGACAACATTCATGTATATCAAATTATAGGATGATTAGTAGTAATAACAGGAAAGAATATGCAGGAAGTGGTCATGGCATAACGTAACATACTATACTGACATCTGTCTAGACAGAATGAGGAAATACACAAAAAACAAAACAACATAAATCAAGAGTGCTAAGCACAACCTTGACATCTGATAGAAAGAATAAGAAAAACTTTACACATTTTCAGACAGGCATCACTTAATTTAAGAAAGCTACCAAAGTGGTAAAAGAATACAAGTGCTAAGCACAACCTTGACATCTGATAGTAAGAATAAGAAAAACTTTACACACTTGCAGACAGGCATCAATTAATTTAAGAAAGCTACCAAACTGGTAAAAGAATACAATGGTAATCTATTTGCACATATCCACAGTACTTTAAATAAATGAAAAAATCACTTCAGTCAGCTATTACATGGGGTTCAGGATGTTAAGTACGGAGTGAGGTATGTACAATTTGTGCCCAAGCTTAGTCTGAAACTGCTATCAGAAGTTTAAATGATGTATGTTGCTGCAGTGGAAGGAATCTATTATTGCACTATCTATAAAAGCGGCAATAAAACAGACAGCAATAATTACTGAGGAACATCAGTCTTATGAATATATACATAATTTTCTCCCAAGGTCAACTATGCATGTAGAATAAATCAAATATAATATGATATATACGATCAAGTACTGATCAAACAATCTGCATTTGTAAGATATAGGAGTGCAATGATTAGATCAATAATCAGCCAATGCTCTTTTCAAATCAAACAGAATGACAGCAGTGTTGCAACACTATCAGCTTTCCAGCAGTACAACTTGCAGTCAATACCAGTAAAATGGAATAAATGTTATTTCTTATGAGTTAAGGCATTATTTAATGAAAAAGCATATATTTTTCTTTTGTATTTCAGGGAGACAACTGCCCAAATATTGTAAACAAAGGATGAAGAATAGCATTACTTAATGTAAAAATGGCATTTCAGTAAATTAAACATTTTAGACTTTTCTTAAATACAAGTTTAAAAAATACAATTACTTTTGCTTTCCAGCTATGATGTCAATAACCTAACACCAAATGCATTAAAATCTGAGTACAATATAAAGTAATGGTGTGTATCATACCTATAAAATCTTGGCTAGTAATTTTTCCTAGTGACTGCGACATAAAAGGGGGTGTTCCTGATGGTGCCTTGTTCCACCATTTTCCATACGTTCTCTGTAAGAGGAAATAATCTATTTAAATTCCAGTCTAGAACTGTTATTAGCTACTGCATTATCTTACCATGAAAACTGGACTAAACATAAATTATGCATAAAAAGCTATTTAGCTTATCACATTACACTTATCTTTACTTGGATCTGCATATTAAAAAGCAAAGCAATTGAGAGTGTATGAACTAAGTATTATTCTCTTAATTCATTAAGGCAAGAATGTAGTTCCTCCTATTGCCTTGATCTGAAAAACATAACCAATACAATGCAAGTTTCTTCTAAACAAATGCATGACAGAAAAAATAAAAAGTGGCAATATCATATATACATAAAATATGTATGCATTACATGATTTATAATAAAGTCTAATTAAAGACTGCAAAATGTATGAGATTTACTACTAACATATGTGGTAACTTATCACAGAAGAAGTGCATGAATTTATACATTCTCATCCTGTGGAAGCTCTGATTCCCTGTTGTTTTCTTCTACTGCAATGTACTGATTTTACAAAAGATGTCATAATAATAATAATAGTTAATTAAAAATCTTGTTTTTCAAACTACAATTCTATAAGTCAAAGTTCAATTTCAGATTATGTATATTGTCAACACTAAACCTACCATAACAAATGCTTGTGGGAAGTCCCCATAATCTGGAAATTTACTAGGTTTTCCAGTAATGTTGTATGCTGTATACGATATGCTAACATCACTACCATACTGAGAACTAAAGCCTATGACATCTTGCACAAATTGTTCAATAAATACAATATCATTTTCACTTGAATTCGAAACATCAAACGATGTTACTTCCTCATCATCTACCATTTTTTGTAGATTATGTTTTTAATTTTCTTCGTCAGTGGCATCACAACCGTTTTAAAAATCTCCGAGCCCGAAAAACGGAAATCCTCTTTTTAACATTATGTCTACTAGCTAGTACGGTGTGGAAAAATGTTTTCGTATTCAAAATAAAATGATTATACAAGAAATACGACACATTACAATACCACGGAGAACGATATTGGCATTTCTGATGTTGGTAGGTAGACTATGGTTGTTATTACTGTTCCCACAATGCGACAAGTGCGAAACGAAATGTGTTGTTGGCTCATTTGTTCTGACACGTAGCACCTAGTGTGATACGAGGCAGTATAAACGTCTTGTTATTGTGTCATTTTGTTTTCCATATTTATTTAATAATTCAGAAATATGTCTGGGAAACAGTCAAAAGCCTTTACAAAGGAAGAAGAGCTGCTTCTCCAGGATTTTAGCAGAAATGTGTCGACAAAATCATCTGCGCTGTTCTATGGGAATGCATTTATTGTTTCGGCCATACCAATATGTAACTAAACGTAGTCTGTAAACGAGTATTAGTTAGTCATGGTTTCGTATTTATTCATGAGTTATTTAACATCAATAGCGTCCATGCTCTTAGTTTTAAACATTACTTCTAAATTTTATTTTAAAAACGTGGCCAATATCCTTGTAAATCTGGCTGTTGCAATGACCATTCTAAGAAACAAAATGTTAAGCACACTAAGGTATTTGTACTGATGATTTTTACAGTGTTACGGAGGACTTTAAATATTAATTTTTTAACAGGGTTATTCTGGAGAATCCATATGATTGACCTGTACTCATCAGTTATATCCTTCATCGCTGTGACATTAGCCAGTACATATTTGGTTGCATTGGCATATAAGAACACGAAGTTTGTTTTGAAACATAAGGTAAGTTCTGACACAAAAAGCATTCGTTGTCAACCAAACTAAAGGAAACATTTAATTTGTTCAGTCTGTTGCTGTGTATGTTTTGGGAAACAAACCAGATTGCCACAGGTGCTTGTAATATTGAACAGTTTTTAACACTTAGCATCTGCGTTCTTTACAAAACCATATTTAGTAACACTTAACTGGATGTTGTTCTTAGGTTGCTGTGAAAAGAGAAGAAGCAGTTACCAGAGAAATGACTAGGAAATTGGCAGAAGATAAGAAGATGAGTAAGAAAGAGAAAGATGAGAGGTATGATGGAGCTGAAGGGCTGTGCATTATAATCAGCACTAAACTGTGAGGTTTAAAGCCAGTTTAAACTTTTGGTCAGGCAGTTGTCATCAAACAGAACATTATTATAACATAAGAATCAACCAGCAAACTACTACAATGTGCGTTAATGAAAATGCCTGTCTTGTTCACAGAATACTATGGAAAAAGAATGAAGTTGCTGACTACGAAGCAACAACATTCTCCATCTTCTATAATAATGCTCTCTTTCTGGCCCTGGTCATCTTCTGCAGCTTCTATATCCTGAGGACATTTACTCCGGCAGTGTATCCTTTTGTGCGTCAGCAACAGAATTTTCGAAAAAAGAAATATAATTTTTTGACAGTTTTAAACCAGCGAGTCCAAAATCACTCCATGAACTGTTTCTGTGATGTAGTTGTATTTTATGTAGAGGATTTGTTTCTTTCCATCCAGGCAGTCATTTGACATGGCTTTTTAACACTTTTTGAAACGTTCCATAATGTAATGTGATACCCTGCTACCCTGGCTCATGAAAATGAAATAACTGTTGTGGTTAGTAACATGAGAGGCTGTATGGGTTCAAATGCTAGTAGAATGGGGTCACCAATTTTACAACTGGGGGTTATCGTTCTTTGAATAAGGCAGCCAAATTGTGAATTGAACCTCTTACTTCCATGTTGTACCTTGGAGCTTAACTTCTGTGTATCTTGAATGATGGCAACTGTATTGTTACCAGAGAAACACTCGTTTCCTTTCAATAAACATGATACTGAACTGTTGTTATATGTTTTATCTGTGATAACATTCTGCTCATATTCTGAGTAGCAGTTTTGTAGTGATGTGTTGGAATTTGTTGTTCCTTAATTTTGAACCCAGCAACTATGTTTTATCAGTCGGAGCTGCGGGAGGATTGCTTGCACTGCTGTCCACAGGTTCCCAGTGAACTTGCTGCATTTCTGTGTGAATAAATGAGTGAGAGAATCCATGGTACATTGAGCTGTTCATTGTAAATCATGTATACATGTTCATAACATCAGCAAATAAATATTATGAAGTAGAATGTTTCGTACTTAATTTGTATTGCTAGATCAGTTTGCTGCTTTGTAGGAAGTGAAGAAGCTGGGCTAGAATTAAAAGTAATTTAAAAACAACAAGAGATATTTCTGTTTATCATTTGTAGATTTGCTGTAAAACAGCAAGCTTACAAAAGAATGTTTTGAAAACTGTTCGTGTCTATTCTTCTAAAGATTTCACATGGTCATCTTAGTGTTCTACATTCTACATAGAAATTGATTTAAAAGCTGCCTAGTTTCCAAAACTTAGTTGTTATAAATGTGGGTTGTGTTCTGAGTTGTGATGCCATGTAGTCTTGTAGATGGCTACCGTTTCAGTTGAATGGTGTAACAATCCAGAATACAATCCACATTTTTATTGCCATTAAAACCTTAAAGTCTAACACTTAAATGCCACATGTAACAGTATAAAATGTTCATCAAATTATACATAGGCATGACAGTAAATTACATATAGAATAATATACTGTTAAATATTTTGAACAGCACTTAAAATCCATGAGCTAGGATCTAATATCTTTGTCAGTATTTATAACAATATGTATACTGAATTGACTTTTGAAGCCTGTTGTTAAATCAGGAGACAGATACATGCAGTTATCTGACAAGGTTCCAAAAAATCAAACCACACAGTTGAAGGTCATCAGAGTTTTATATTCTGTATGTTTCAAAATGTAAATCTTCTGAATTAAAAGACTAATTGTTACATTAAAATCTAGTGTTCACATCCCAGATCCCATTCACTTATGAGCCATCCACAACATAACAGCTAGCCTTTTATCTTAAGAACAGTAACTCTTAAGATGTCCCTCAGAACACAAATTCACAAAATAAAGGCCTGAACTGAGGTGCATAATCATGCACTCCATAAAATACCAAATTTGTTTAAAATATAATATTATGATTTATGCATAAAGAACAGAATGTGAGGCACTTCAGCCTAGGAGAGCGTGTTAGTGCTCATCCACTGCAGTTATGATATGGCTATAATATACATTCACACTCATTAATAATCATTTACAATAAGTGAATTATGAGAGTTACATCTTTACGCTTTAAATACAAGTTCCAAGTGAAAAATTTGGCAAGTTTAAAAGAATGATGGTAGGAAATTACAGCAATGAAAGTAAGTTGTTTCCTTAGTTAATTCTGATAGTTCTGTATTATTCACAAAACATTAAGGCAGCACTGTATAACTGCTTGCCTAAACTGTTCTCTCTACACTCATTTTTCACGTTTGATTTTAAGTCGTATGTCCAGAACCTTCATGATCTTGACACATGTAACTTGCATTAGCTGAACAGCAGAATTATCTATCATTATAAATACTTTAAAAATTGATATAATTTCATTTATAACTTACATGACAAGAACTGATATGACCAAAAAGTGTTAAACAGTTTTCTAAATGAAAATTTCATCTGTTTTTATTGGAAAAAAAAAGTTTTGGTAAGGGATATATAACCAAAACTGTCATGAAGATTATGTTATTCACACAAAGTTTCTAAAGTTCTTCACTTGAGTTTAAAATAAATAAAGTAATTTACACTTAAAACAGTCAGTTGAAATGTTTTCCCTTGATTAAGTGCAGCTGCCATGAATATCATATGAAACAGTATGTAAGAGATTGGGCCTTATTGTCTTCGCCTAATATACTTTCACGGAAGCAATGCAGACGAAACTGTGACAAGGATGTAAACTTTTAATACACATTTGACCATCATATGAAATAAGAAGAACAGTTGAAAATTAACTGTAATGGATTCTCAGGGTGTCCCACTCATTGTGGAACCTGGCATTACATAATACCACTGCAGCAGTGAGTGAACTACCAGAAAATGAATATGTTCTCATGATGCTTTGTGTCAGCTATCATATCCCATTCTCCTCTGATTCTGTAGCAAAAGTTCTCTCTACCTGTTTGGCTACATAAGGTTTGTTCCACTGGTTTCATTCACAGATGTTTACTGATACAAATACCTTGCTTATGGGTCAAAATGTATGTCAGAAACCATTTTTAAAACATACCAGTTCAACTGACTTCTGGTCAAAAAGCCTCTCATGTAATATTCAGGCCAGCCAGAAATATGTTCTGATTGTCATGACATATCTAGGACATCATTCCAGAAAGGCACCTCAACAAAACAGCTGATTTACACGGGACTAAATTGTAACATCTACTTGGTTTGACTGATATGCATTATTAGAGTTTCTATGTTCAGATGTAACTATCTATATATCTGTGTAGAGCAGCATTAGCATTATGCCCTTATGGCATGATGTCTTCAATATGTTCAGCTGGGTTGTTCTGCCTTCTGCCAAGACACACATCAGTCATTGCCTTTAACTGATGGTAGGGTGAATCTACAGTTTAGTGTGGACTTTGGTACATGGTGCAACCTAATATTCCTCATGCTCACAAAGCTTTTATCATGTCTCAGATATGGAAAAGGGAATTAATATAGAAATATCTGCACTGCGTCTCATACTTCTAACATTTCCTTGATAACACCAGTGCCTTTCACTTACACCATTAGGCTAATATTCTACAAGTAATAAGCCATGAAGAAGTAAAATGTTCATTCATTGTTTGACTTAATGTATTATTCACAAAACATTAAGGCAGCACTGTATAACTGCTTGCCTAAACTGTTCTCTCTACACTCATTTTTCACGTTTGATTTTAAGTCGTATGTCCAGAACCTTCATGATCTTGACACATGTAACTTGCATTAGCTGAACAGCAGAATTATCTATCATTATAAATACTTTAAAAATTGATATAATTTCATTTATAACTTACATGACAAGAACTGATATGACCAAAAAGTGTTAAACAGTTTTCTAAATGAAAATTTCATCTGTTTTTATTGGAAAAAAAAAGTTTTGGTAAGGGATATATAACCAAAACTGTCATGAAGATTATGTTATTCACACAAAGTTTCTAAAGTTCTTCACTTGAGTTTAAAATAAATAAAGTAATTTACACTTAAAACAGTCAGTTGAAATGTTTTCCCTTGATTAAGTGCAGCTGCCATGAATATCATATGAAACAGTATGTAAGAGATTGGGCCTTATTGTCTTCGCCTAATATACTTTCACGGAAGCAATGCAGACAAAACTGTGACAAGGATGGACAAGGATGTAAACTTTTAATACACATTTGACCATCATATGAAATAAGAAGAACAGTTGAAAATTAACTGTAATGGATTCTCAGGGTGTCCCACTCATTGTGGAACCTGGCATTACATAATACCACTGCAGCAGTGAGTGAACTACCAGAAAATGAATATGTTCTCATGATGCTTTGTGTCAGCTATCATATCCCATTCTCCTCTGATTCTGTAGCAAAAGTTCTCTCTACCTGTTTGGCTACATAAGGTTTGTTCCACTGGTTTCATTCACAGATGTTTACTGATACAAATACCTTGCTTATGGGTCAAAATGTATGTCAGAAACCATTTTTAAAACATACCAGTTCAACTGACTTCTGGTCAAAAAGCCTCTCATGTAATATTCAGGCCAGCCAGAAATATGTTCTGATTGTCATGACATATCTAGGACATCATTCCAGAAAGGCACCTCAACAAAACAGCTGATTTACACGGGACTAAATTGTAACATCTACTTGGTTTGACTGATATGCATTATTAGAGTTTCTATGTTCAGATGTAACTATCTATATATCTGTGTAGAGCAGCATTAGCATTATGCCCTTATGGCATGATGTCTTCAATATGTTCAGCTGGGTTGTTCTGCCTTCTGCCAAGACACACATCAGTCATTGCCTTTAACTGATGGTAGGGTGAATCTACAGTTTAGTGTGGACTTTGGTACATGGTGCAACCTAATATTCCTCATGCTCACAAAGCTTTTATCATGTCTCAGATATGGAAAAGGGAATTAATATAGAAATATCTGCACTGCGTCTCATACTTCTAACATTTCCTTGATAACACCAGTGCCTTTCACTTACACCATTAGGCTAATATACTACAAGTAATAAGCCATGAAGAAGAAAAATGTTCATTCATTGTTTGACTTAATGTTGTTTCTTGGCTCTAAAACCCAGTTGTGGGTTTTTGCCGCCTCCTTTTCGGAGGTTTCCTAGTCTTTGAAGTGTGCAATTGTGAGTAGTGAGTGAACAGCCCACTGACTAGTTTGACCTAATCAAACAACTATAATAATTCAGATATATCTACAAGTAGAGTACAAATCCTGATTTCCCTCGCTTTCAGTTTCCTTAATTTTCATGTGTCCAAATCCACTGTCCCAAACTATTAAAAGTTTATTTCTGTTACTTGGCCAGCCTGATACTATCTTAGAGGTGATAACACAATAAATAAATCATTACATTTAATCAAGGAATGTGCGATATGTGGAACATAATTCAAATCACAAAGTAACTTTGTACTGCATCAGGTACCTACATAGTTACCTGTGCAGTGCACTTACATGTCACAATCAGCCAATTTCAAACAAAACAATAAAATCACAGTTGACAAAGTATATATTACACTATTATACAATAAATAAAACTACCTTAGTAAAACACTTATTTGAGACTTGTGCTCATATGTTTACTGTTTCATGGTGTAAATTATCAAATTCAGCACATAATAATTTTTATTCCTATATATTGGTACTGTAACTTGTAAAGGCAACACTGAATCATTACTGTACAATACATTCAAGCCAATTACTGTGTTATTTGTTGATACTGTTATTAACAGATCGACAACTTACAATGGATAACACTTATGGTTAACAATGCAACAATTACAAGAATGCAACTGACTGCATTAATTATATGGAATGTAGCAATTATATCTTTAAAACAAATATAGAACATGCAGTATTAGTTTCTTTTATTCATGTTAGCTACAGTTTTACTGATAAGGTATGGAGAGTAAGGCAGTATTCATAATACTGTATGGATAATTTTCATTCCAGTTTTCTTATTCTAGAATCCCAAATATTGTACAAATAAGTGACAATTTGCTTACTGTTTCTTCTTTTACATCTTATCATACACTGACCTCCCAATTATCTGATGTTCTGGAACACACCTCATGACTATTTTCTGTTTCCCACAGGGAAAAATATTTTCATGAAGTGAAGAGATCATCCCAAAAGTAGTGTGTTAGAAGTGGCATGACTGCTCAAACTATAGCGTTTTATCAGTAGGAGACTACAGTACTTTGAAGGGGATACATTTCATTAATGTATATGACCCTCTGTTTTCACAAAAAGAATTCAGTTCCAGGTTTTCATGATCTGCCCTTGCACAACACAGCCCATTGTTTGAAAACTGAAATGGAAATCCTGACAGGTGACACCATTGCAAGTAACAGTCCACAAGACAACAATCTAATCTTAATGCTGGACATACTGTAGGTATGGGGGTTAATAGTTACATGTAGTAGTAGAAAGGATACTGAGAAGTCAGACCAGGTATATAAATTACTGTCTCAACTCACTATAGTGAAGAGTACATGTTGGTGACTATGAATTGGGGAATTTCTCAAAACCTCATATAATGCATTTTGTAACATGAGCTGATATGGGTCAATCGTAAACTGATTTCATATTTTATGTATATAGATCACATTAAAGATTTTGGCAAAATGCAGAGGAGGAATACTTTTTATGTACCCACTCACACAAGTTCTGAGTTACTATAGACATCAATATATAATTTTAACAATGTTTAGTCATTATAAAACGCTATAGACATGTTTCACTCATATCTGCACATTTCAATTTGAATATACATTACATCTTATTGAGCTTATATGCAATAATATATGTTAATAAATTTATTATAAACTCTTATTTTTATATGTTGCTTGGGTTTACAAATGGATCTCCCTTATTTTGACTGTTTACACAGTCTGCTGTATCATCTCATAATCTAGCTCATGAATGGCCAATCTAATAGTGATTTGCCATATTAAAAGTTGCATTTTGACAAAAGTTTTTCTTTTATTTCTGAGCTTATATAACGTTAACTACAAGAAAGCAGTAGCATCCTTGCCGTTAACCTATGGGGAACTTACCTCTAGAGGGTATGTAAATTCCATGGGTAACATGAAGCAATTTGAGTCAAAATTATTTTAAAAAATTACAGAGGCTATTTTTATGAAATTGCATTATTGCTGACTTCTCACAAAATGATGGTTTTGATTTCATTTTTATTATCGTAGTTTTTTCTTCTTCATAAGATTTAATTTTTATTACTTTCCTAACACTAGCATATATTAGCCAAGAAATGTGATGCAGCTCTGGACACAATGAACTTTACATTGTTCTAGGAAAAACATATTTTGTTTCACATGATACAGTATGATGATAACCAACATGCATTGTACAGTACAACAGACTGTGTAAAAAAATCTTTTGTTTCATAACAACAGAGGTACTGATTTACGATCTTCCAAATATGTCTGCTGGGAATTTTAACCCAAAAATGATGTCTCTTTACTGATTACAGTGACCTGTTTGGCTAAGTTATAGAAGTGCTGTTTTCTGTAGACTGTCCTGGCAATTGCTGTGATACACTGAACATATTTATCACTGGTCATGAAAATTGACTTTCCTTTAATCAGTGTATAAGGACACAAGGGCGTTAGTTTATGCAGATGCCAATATATTACAAAACTTACTATATCTACAGACTTCTGGCCACCATGATGTTTTCTGAAAATGTCTTTAGGCTATATTCAAATGCTAAAAGTTGTACCTAAAAGACACATGATCATTTCCTTCCACTCTCTTAATAATTCATTATTCATAATTATCTTATCATCCATTGCTATATGACTTATACACTAGACACAGCACTGTTAAATACACTAAAATAAAATAAACAAGTAACTAAACTCAGACATTTTCCATAATATTGGTTTAATCAGAATATCTGTAGGCTCTGTATAGTGCACCATAAATGCTACTAAAATCTACTAACCACATAATAAAAATCATTCAACATGCATACAGCTTAAAACTAAAAATCTTCTTGACACTGGTCTCCATTAACTGCCCTGTGGCAAGTGGGTGAGTACATCTAGTAACTTTGCTTAATGCCACAATATAAATCAGAACCTCTGTGTTACCATGTTTGAGTTCCGAAATGTACAAAGTATTCCTTGTTCTGGGAGAATTTTCTGTTATGTTAAACACCGACATGAATATGAACATCAAATTAATAACTGTGGTTGCATATGAATTGGATTACTTGTAGAATCTGATTAATGATGTTTCAAAGAAATCACTATAACTGTTATGTGACTCGGTGGTATTGATAACAGACTAAAATATATACTGCTCCTTCAGTACATAAAATTTCAAAACTAATTCCTTATTGCACAGTCACATATACACATATATAATACACTTAGTTATAAATGATGAATAGAGAAACTGGTATTATAATAAAAACAGCTGACTCCAAAAAATACAGAGAATGGACAAGATTTGCAAGCTGTATCAAAGTAACTGTTTCACTGTCATCAGCCAATAGTCACCAGACTGTCACAATTTGGATTTCAAAGCAGTGGATCCCCTCTGTATGTAAATGCACAAACACACACATACACACACAACTATGTTACCTTTAAAACTCAATTTGTGTGCAGAATATTTTTAAATATTTCTTTTTTTCTATATACTTGGTAAACAGTTTCCCCATAACAGTGAAAGGGTTACAGTTTGACACTCATTTCTATAAAATGATGCAGATTTTTCTATAATGTGTTGCTACATACTGATATAGTTTTCAATACTTAGCAAACATTAAAATTAAGCTTTCATTTAAGACTTGAAGCTTTTGTGGCAACTGAACTCAATAAAATCTTTTCAGGCAATCATCTACGTTAATTGGGTACACAAAGCAACCAACATTTTGGGAACTATCTCAGTCCCCACCCTGATGACGGGGACATACATACATGCTTACTTTCAGAAATGAATGAAGATGAGTTGTCAAAATCATGGTCCTTCTGACTTGTTTCAGAAAAAGAGCACTAGCTTCAAAAGATCCAACTAAGAATCAAATTCTGGCCATCCAGTTCAAAGCAGTCCAAAGCCTGTCACATTATTAGCTGAGCCATTTCCATCTTTCTTATGTTAGGAATACTTGTCTTAAACACAATATGTAACAATATGCAACCTACTTTCTCTTGTGGGGACAGAGAGGGTCTGACTGAACAATACTGCCATTTCAATCAGGAATTGAACTTCCACCTTCTGCCATATATTAAATGCCTCAGTCCACTGAGGATTTCCCCTGTGTAATGGCAATATGCTTTCCCCTAGTGCCACAGGAGGATACTGTAATTTTACTAGGGGACTCCAAATTCATAACCACAGAACTTGCCTTCTTGCTTTCTTATTTCTGATACCTGAGCAATATCTTCCATAGTCTTTCAAGATTTGTTAATTTAAAATAACGATTCCTTTCTCAGTTATGAACCACACAAAATGTGCAATGCTTTTTCTGAGTACAACTACATAGAGAGAGTTATGAACACACAAGTAAGTCAAACTGTGTATAGTTTGTGATGATGAAATGAAGAATGTCCAAAACTGAATATTCACAGTTAAAAATTATTCATAAGGATACATAAAATAGTTTCTCTTGTGAACAATTTCCCATACTGTCATGCTGGTATGCAAAGGAAACAAATGTAATTATAATTGACTTCAGTTTATGTAATTGACTTAGGCCTATTCAAACCTCTTTATACAGAATAACGTTCAGCACAAACTATTTATTCCTCAGAATTATATTAAAACATAACTAGCCCCATGGAGCAGAGTTCTTAAAAAGCTGATAATATGTTCAGCTTGTCAAGAAATTTCCTACTCTACATGGAGCCCGAGGGCTCATGTACATGGGTACATGTGCACAATGTCAAGTAGAGTTGTGAACTAGAAATGTTTTGTGGGTGACCAGTTGGTAAACATTTGTTGGAATAAAAGAAGAAGTGCTGTTACATTAAAAGTGGATCTAGTAACCAAAGAAACACAGAAACATCTATGGGACTGTCAAACTTCTTCTATTTGCTCAGCTAATAATACTGACTATAAAAATTTATTCAATTTTTACTGCTCTGAGTCTATACGTTTTATTTAATAAAGTAAGGACTATACAGTTTACTTTACAAGACTTATCTGTAATTAAAACTGTGCAAATTTTGTCCAAACAATTTGCTTAGGAAATAAGTTCTCAGAACTTACAATGACCTGCAGGAATTATATGATCATTCCCTGTCTTGGTAATTTTCAGACTTCTTGACCACTGGAAAAACCTGCAGTAAACTTAGGTAAAATTACAACAATTTTAAACTTTAAGACAGAGTAATAGACGTTAGGGTTACTGAAACATCACAATGTGCAGATGACATAAGGTTTATGAAATAAGCACCCATGCAGTTAAACTGTACTGTATTGTAATCAACTAATGACGACTCTACCTTCAAGGCTGACACTGTTACATTTCCCATCTTCTTCTCTTACCTTGTTGTTCACACAGTTTGATAATCCCACTGTTGCAGAGGTTATTTAACACCATTGTATCAGTTGCAGAAGTTTTGTAAACCCAAATTACATATAGAAGAATAATTACTTAAAGAATGTATAAATACATAACAAAACAGTTGTGGTATGGGAAAAACTACAAAAAGTTAGAAAGAAGATAGACATCCTCAGCTGAATCATTAGAATCATTGATGTTTGGTGGATGTAAGAACTAGTACAGGGTTGTCCAGTCAAAATTTTTTTATGAGTAACTATCATTGACATTGTAAGAGAGTCCTCCCTTGAGTAGTAGCAGCCATCATTGGTTGTGAATATTTTAACACAATAAAAATATTTTAAAAAGTGTATTGTTTATAAAATACATGTGACAATTTTAGTGTTTTCCAGAGTGAAAATGTATATTGCAGGTATGAAAATATGACCATATAATTCCCACCTTAGGCTCTCAATAAGGCTAATTTATAGGCCCAGTTACACAGGCGTGATAGTTACTGCATCTATGTCACCTATAGACTTGACACGCCGATGATGGTGTCTCTTCTTCACCCTTGTCGGAGGGTGTCGGCAGTGATCCCCAACTCTTGTTGGTGATAATTCCCGTCCATGATAGGGTGGCGGGGAGTATCGACAACTGAAGTTAATGACTGAGGAACTGTTCTCTGATGAGGAGGAAGGAGATGCAACATAGTAGTTGTTGCTGCTACTGCTAGTTTGTGAGTCACGATCTCGGTTATCTCTATCCCTTTCTTGTCTGGATGAGTGTGAATCTTGTCGGAGCTTTAGCCCTAAGACTCGACTCAGTGATCCCTGAAAATCAATGATCATGTGTTATTAGTATAAAATGTGTAACCTTCAATTCATATAATTTAGCACAATAAATAGCCTTTTTGGATCATACACCTGATATTCACTAATTCGAAAGTGACCAGAAAATAGATATAAGCACAAGAACGCACAATATTAAACATGGCAGATGATTTTGGTCTTCCAGGTTGTGAAGCCATGTGGAAGCATTATGTTCCTTTACAACAATGGTAATGACCTACAAAACCACACAGTATCACAGCCTAGAAGACCATATCTATGCACTGTGCAACACTGAACATATCTATACTAGGGAATCAGTGTTTTCTGCTATTTTATATGAGAGATTAAGAAATAAATCTAAATGATGTAAATTAACTTTTGCACAGTTATGTCCTTTAAGGAGAAGTAAAACATTTGTTTGTAAATCTTCATGACATGCCCTTCCTGTATGTTGTGCTGAGATAACTACGGACAGCGGGATTACTACAAATTATTAGACATAATGGATTAAATGAAAAATATTTGGATCTTGGATGTGGTTTAAGTTAGGAATGGAGGATATTACACAATGAGAAACTTGATAATTTATACAGTTCACTTAGTAGAGATACAATACTTCAAGTAAAGTCAAGAAGGGATGAATATTTAGGTTAAACAGAAGAGACAAGAAATTAATACAGCCTTTCTGGCAGGGAAACTTGAAAACTGATGACTTTAAAAACAGAGTAAGAGGTGATAAGATAATATTATAATGGGTTTTAGATAAATAAGTTGTGGATGTAAACTTGATTGGAATGGTTTAAGATATTTTAAACGACAGTCTTTAGTATCAAGATGTTGAATCTACAGGCAACACTGGCAGAGACTGTTAATATTTTAAACGACAGTCTTTAGTATCACAGGCAATACTGGCAGAGACTGTTGCTCAAAGAATGGGACATAAATATTCTTAATCACCTTTAATGTCCAAACATTTTCATGGCAGGACTTAGCAAAACTATGAAGAGCCTCAGATTGGAGTTTATGCAATGCAGAGCTCCTTCAAATTAACATCTTCAATCCCAATAAAATAACAGATCCTCTGACACACATGTTGGAAGATGGTAAATGATAATGTTGTTAGGTTCTAATCATACGAGTGTAGTCAAAATCAATGATTAAATGTGCTAAGATGCTGAGAGACTTTATAAATTTAAATCATCCAAAATAATTAAGAACAGGATCCTCAAGATCACAGAAGCCAACACCAGGAGTTTGTTCCTGGTAAATTCTTGGTCTAACGTATCATAGTATCTTTGTCATTAAAATTTGTGTAGCCTATCTGTAGACATAGGGATGAAGAAACCCAAATTCATTCAGCTACTTGCTATTCAACCTTTAATAGTCATGTGTTACAGCTTATGTTCAGTCCAGCTGCTGTGCACTGCAGTAGCGTACCACAAAATCCCATAGTCAAAGTCCAGCCAGTAACCCCATACTGTGGGGATTGAAATCCCTCATTCCTGTATGATACAAGTTAATTGAGAAAGAAAGCATGCCTTAGATGAGTGCACGTGGATGGGTAGCTGGCAGAGGAGTGTATTCAAGTTGCCTCACACAACACCTTCCATGTTTATTAAGTGATCAACTAGAGCAAATATTGTATTCACTTCTTTGCAGGAAAAAGTGAAATGTCTGAAGTGAGTCAATCATACCTGTGAGCTCCTCCAAGATGAAAACTATGAAAAGAACAATTATGGCACATTTCATAAGATATGACACACCAAACAAGAACAACCTGGAGAGTTCATACACAACAAACATCTGGTCCACAAAATACTTCATTATGACAATAAATACTCAGAAAGAACAGTAATGTTTTGATGTAACATACTTCCTAATATCAAAATCCCAGAGCAACCTATAGGTTAAATATTGTAAACTGCTTTCACCTGATTCCATTTCCTCTGAAAGCCAAACAGTAGAGATATAAGAGATTAGCGACTGTGAATTGTAAATGATTCTACATTTTTCATTCCCAATATAATGAGAACCAGATGATGTATCAATCAATTCATATTTGTAACTGATTAACAAATCACTATTAACTATAATACCAATTGCTTAGCTGCTAAATTAATTGGTTAACAGAAACATACATTATCAATAATAGTAAGTAATAGGAATATATGATACTAGAAAATCTGTATTCATGACTTTTCTGATTTAAAAATTGTATTGCTACTAAGAAAACACTCATTACAAAGATCAGACACAAACATAATTGTTGATATAGATGGAAGTCTTCCAGGTTGTTCTGTCCTAACAATTCACAGGAACATACTGCCTCTATCTTTAGCCCTGCATCAGAATTTTCTTTTTGTGGGGAATGAGATCTTTTTGTAAAGTTGTTCAGAAGTAGGAAAACCACTGCTGAATTTCTTGTTTTATGCAAGAAAAGTGGATTAGTGATGTGACTTAGAAAGATTTAGTTCATCCAAGTAAACACTTTATTGAGTTGCCAGAATCAAGAGAGAATGATGGTGGCATGTGAAAACAATTTATTAACAATGATATCAAAGAGCTTTGAATGCATTCTGCTCTCATTAAATTGCCCAACAAGTTAGGTGCATAAGCACAGAATAAAGTCATAGATCAAAGCTTGCAGGTTAGCTGGAAATAGTGATTTGTATTCACCTTTCCACATAAAAGGATTTCTATGAATATGACTAGGCAGAACACTATTCAGAAACACACATATTTCTCATTACCAGGGAACAGCTTCTTCTAAAAACCCACACTACATGTACATGTGTATGTTCTGCGAGCCAAAATCATGACTAATGGTTTATTAAGTTTTCACGAATCAAACACTTGTATGAGTTTCTGAGTAGTCATAAAATATCAACGACACATGAACACACCAAGACAAAGAAAATGGATAGAATAAAGTAAGGACTTCAGAAAATTTCTCAGTTGAATCCAGCAGCCAGTAAAGTTGGTTTAGCTAGGCTGGCTATAATCCAGTCTGACTGATGTCAACTGCCATCTTCTGCGTTGTGACACAATTTACTCTTGTAGGTGCTTACCAGTGTTTCAGAGGAATACGTAACATCCATTTTCAGACAGAAGAATGAAGGTAATATGTCCCTCTGAAAATTATAACTTACAAAACCCCAGAAGAACACACCTGACATCTTGACTGCCGTAAGAACCTCTGTGCTGACTGAAGCCTTGAAGATGGCTTTCTATTGCATGTATTTTATATATGTTAAGGAGTGGTGCAATTGTGCAAGAAGGTCCTAGTTTTTATAAAAAGTTAAGCAATTCCTGTGCAGTATGTAGCATTAGGTTTCAATTAAATCTCTATTTTGATATGTAGCGTGTCTAGAGAAGAAGCAGAGTTACTGAGGAATGATGGAAGACACATTTCACAGGCATGTTACAACAAGAACCTACTTGTGTGAAGATCAATGCATTAGAAAATAGATGTTACTTTATTAAATAATGTTATCAATCTGCACTAAGACATAACACCAAGTACTGCCCCAAAAATTTCGTTAGCTACATTCATAGTTCATGAAAATCTAGCTCTTTTAATCTACAATATTACAGAATAGGATATATACCATGCACTACTGTACATATGAATGTATGGGTTAGGTATCTACATTAGTAATTAACATATTGAGTGTTAAAATAGGTTTATATGCAGTACAACCCATTTATAATGTTCTCAGATATAATAAATTATCTTCATAATGGTGTCCTTCAAATAATGTTATCATGATATTCTGAAAAGTTCAGAATAATGTTATATAAAATCTATTAACTACATCACATAATGTTTAGATTTTTAAAATAATAGAATTAGCAATATTTTAAAAGCTACAGTGAATGTAATATAAATGTGTGGTTCTTAAGTTCATTATGGTATTGTCATGAGATCTTTTTTTTTTTTTGGGGGGGGGGGGGTTTGCATGCTCACTGTCCAGATAAAAAGTATATGTGACATTATTGAAACTTATTTTGTCTCTACTTTCACGTTGAGAAAGGGGTATTTATTCTGTGAGATTCATTAAGTAAAGCCAGAAATATAAAATTAAAATCTCTCTCTTCACTGATAATATCCAAATGTGGATTTTTGAATTGTTGACTTCAACAGAGACTACTTATTTTAGTTAGTTTTCAGCATTTTTCATATATTAATTCTTCAAGCACATATAACATAATATATTACCATGACTGTTGTATGTGCTGGCAGTTCTCTTATCTTATTAACATAAGGAATGCCATGCAAATATAGGTTTCTCAAGTCTAGTGATAGTAAATATATCTCAAGCTAGCAAGAAGATAGTAAATCACCATACTGACAATAAAATTACTTTGAATGTTTTGGGGGAGTTGGAATGGTATTTTTAAATTGAACATTTTTCTGTGATGAATAAATTTAAATATGCTAAATTATGGTATACAAATTTTTGTACCTGATAAACTCTTCTACTCAGTCATACTCTAAGATTAATATATGTTAATTTAAAATTATTATAAAAACTAAAACTGTCTAACTCACAGCAAATAAAAAATGTTTTTTTTTACAAATCAAATCAACTTGTTTAGATTACTACTGCCACCAAATTAAAGAATGTTTTATCATCTAATGCTAGATTGCTAAATTTCATAAAAGTATTTTCCAGATAGGAAAATTAATATTTCAAATGCTTAAACTCTGACACAAAGGCATTTTGAAATTTATTTTTGAAAGAGTCATGATAAACACACAATGCTAATGTATATGTAATACACTATTTCATCACTAAAGTTGTAATTTCATCTGTAACTGTAAACTTTCCTTATACTGCACCCATTACAGAAGCAGTACTTTTATGTAAATTTGGATTTTCATCATTAATGCATGATAATAAATTGAATGAATTTAATCTTTCAAAAATATCTACAGGTATGAGATGAATGTTATAAACATGAGAGATAAATCAGAAGGAAATCCATCTGACAGAAAC